ACAATTGCATGGCGTCGCCACAATAAATTAAGTATTTAAGACTTGAACACAGTAAGCAAAACAAAAACAAAACGCATTCGATTCGCCCGTTTCAGCTGGCCTTTCAAATAAACATGTGAAAGTTGTGTGAGTATTGCGTGTTTGTGGCCATGGATGGCTTCTGTTTTGGGCATTGAGGACATTCAGCCAATGGGATGGATGGGTGCATTGAAATTTGCGATAAGTGTCTTTAATGACATGACAACTAGATTGATAGCTGGGCAGCAATTTGATGTTATAAATGCCAGTTCACGGTTGCCGGCACACTGAATTGAGAATCTAATGCATTAAGGCAATCAACTGAGCAATGACAGCAACAGCCACTTTGGTATACTATGTGTGTGATACGGGTTAGCCATGGCTAACAATTCTGCGGGCTTTTATTATCAAAGTTCGCATCGCTTTTTATGGACGTCGTTGTTGCAGTCGTTTGTTTGTCGCCGCCGGTGGCTTATTATTACATATGCTGTTGGCTGTTATGACATGTGTTTCGGCCTGACGGCCCGCCGCCACAGCGAATTCTATCCATCGTGGTGCAAAGAAGATAACATAATAACAGCATGACCATAAAAAGGTTTGTTTGCTCCCAGCAAACCGCCATTGCCACGGCCACCCACAATTTATTGTCCATTGGGGCCTGTTGTTTGGTTATCCCCTCTTCAGGCGTTCACGTGACCATTGCCAAAGTCCAAAGCCAACAACAACAACAACAACAACAATGAAAAATTTCAATCATTATGTTGGCAATATGTGCCAAAGAAGTCAGAGCAGAAAATTAAGTGCCGCAACAAATTATTATTTGCCTCAATTTTCAGTATTTTCGGGTTGAATGCATTGCATATAATGTCAAGTTATAAAATTTTGATGGGGTATAATTACAGTTACAGTACAGATAAAAACATGCAGTAATTTTGCAAATGAATTCAACTTTTGGTAATGACGGTAAAAATTGGAATAGTTTGGCATTCGAAAGAGGCTTTATGTATGGAAAATAAAAGGAATATGTTTTAATCATCCATTTTTATTTGATAGAGCTTTAAATATTTACAGCTCAAAACATTTCTTCTCTCAATGTTAAAAAAGAATATAGTTTTGATTAATTTTACATTCAAGTTGAGGCAGGTGCAAAATTATGAGTTCAAATTTTTGTTTTGATTTCAAATTGGGTACTATTCTTAAGAACTTCAGCAACTGCAATAGAACAATATTTTTTATTAAAAATTATATTTTATTTGGAGAAGCATTAGCTTTTTGCCAATAAACAGTAAAATACCAGCTTATATTCTTTTTTCCAATAAAACTATTCATTTACTGAGTATCTGCCAGTTGAGCACGCCCGACTGCAAACTTTAATTACTCATATTAAATTTACGATGACGCCGCAAAAAAAGAGAGGACTTCTCTCTGGCATTAATATTAAATGTAATTAAGTCCAATGAATGTAAATGGTGATTGTAAAAAATTCAACACATTTACAATAAGCGGATTTTATTTCAACTTTGGCATTGTTAAACAGTTGCTGAATAAAATTGAAAAGTGAACGAATTTGTTGAAGTGTTTCGCTCTGTTCTGCTCTAGCATTTAGTGCGTTTATTTTGCTGTAATGAAATGGGGGCTTGGCGCTAATGCATTCGCATTTATGCGCCATAAGCTGCTAATTAATGCAATTATCTTGACAATATCAGCTCATTTAACACTTTAAGGCCATGCGACATGCTGTCAATAATTTTATGCGCCAGACTTTCTGTTTAATCGTGCGTACATCAATTCATATTCCATTTATTGATTGATTTTACAAAATTTTACAGGGCTTTTCGCTTGTTATCTACTCTGTTGATTAAATATACAATAGGCATGGCCACAGTTGCGCTTAAAGAGAAGCGATTCGGCATGCCTCCGGGCATGTGACTATCAAATACCCTGGTTTTTATGGTCTGAGATAGAAAACAAAATAATCAAAATAAATTATCGAAAAAAAAAATCAACTTTCTGATATGCTTTTAAATTTATTAGCATAACTGTGTTTAGTCCTGTCTATCTACCTATAGAGCAGGTCAATAAACATTTGTACATATATGAGACACTTAACTTTACTTTTTGCAATATTTTTAGACGTGTTTTCCTTAAATGTCATTTCCGATTTGAGATAAAATTAGATAAAACCTATATGCATATATATACACTTTAGATTAGAACTCTTCGGTAAGTCAAGTCGACAATGAAAAGCATCTACCTCAAAAGTACTTACCAAATTTCTATAGGGTAGTAACAAAAATTGTAGCATTTGATTGATATGGTAAAAAAAAGAGCGAGAAAGCAAAAAAATACGAAGCAATATTACAAATTGTTTCATTGGTATTTTTATGTGTTCTGCTTGTCTTTGGAGATGAACGTGTGATGGGCAACAGCATTCGGAATTCCCACAGTCGCCACAGTTGGTCGAATTGATTCAACAATTCCCAAAACGAATTTGCTTACAACAACGCCGGATTCTAGCAAATCAATATGTGGTGCGAGAAAGAGTTGTGTGTTGTGTTCCTTCTGGATGTGGCTTGGATTTGATAGGATTTTCATGTTTCGATATATTCAACTGGATTTAGGGCGCAGCATTGTACATAATATTTCTTTTTATATTTACCGAGTGGAGCATGGCAAATGCAATTGATGCTGCTGCTGTTGCTACTGATGCTACAGTTGCTGCTGTTGCTACTGCTGCTGCTGTATTTGAAACACGCTTTAAAACCACTCAGAAAATGTGGCGCTTGCAGCGATAAAACTTTGCCAAGGCAATTTAAAAGCAACATGTAACTTAATTGGTATTTTGCTTTGAGGATGCTCCTGTTGGATCTTTTTTTCCCCCATTTTTTCCATTTTACTTCATTGCGTGTTTTTTTTATATTTTTTTTCTGCTATGTTGCGGCTGTCATTTTGTTGTAGCGCTCAACAACATGCAACACTTTTCCGCAGCTTTCAACAAGGAAAACAAATTTCAAAGGCGTGCCCTGTGTTTGACTTGCCCCACCTTACAATCGACCTGCTTTCTCATATTTATGCAAGACAACAGAGCCAGAATTTAGTAAATTAATTCTCTTTATCTGCATTTGACCAAGCCTCGAGCTTGTTAGTTCCTTAAATAGCTGAGAATTTGCTATAATAGAGAGAATACTTGCTGCATGAACTGTAAAATATTCTTTGAATTCAAGGCTAGAATGCTGCCTTAAAGAGATTCCTTCTCTAATTGATTTCGTCTTTAGCTACATTCCAGACAAACAACTCGTTAGAGCCGACAAAGTGCAGCTTTGTCGTTGACTAAACACAAACAAAATGCCTTTTCCCCCCTTTAAAATGTACGTGAACTCTGAGTGCAAGGAGTTGAGGCAGAGGCAGAAGCAGAAAGAGCACAAGTTCCATGTCTTTCAACTCTGCTCTATTTGCATTTATGACACAAAATGAATTAATTAAAACGTAACTCAATTCCATCTGCTTCTGATTTATCAACTCAGCAACAGAAAATTTGAAAATTAAAATTTTACTTTCCATTTTTCCCTTTTTGCGTTTCTTTTTGCTTTTGTTTCATTATTTTTTTTTTTTTTTTTTTTTTTTTTTGCTTTTTATGCCACCTTCCATAAAAGGCCCAGAGACATTCACTGCCGTCTGCCAGCGACGTAAAAAAAAAAAAAACAAAAGAAGCAACGGCAATCGACCTAAATCTAAGGGGAAAACCAGAAAACCAAATAGCACGAACATAGCTACGCCTACTTTAATACCCTACATTCCGACAATTTCAATTTCTAGGCAAGTAAATTTCTTGGGAAATTGCTTTGGGTTAGTACACCCATTTTTGAGATACTATATAAAGCTGGTCAAAGTGAAAGCTGTTTAGAAATATGCCTAAAACATTTTATAGAAACGATTATTGTTATTTATCATGTCATTTGGGGTAACCAACTGGCATGATTGGAGAGGGTAGCGCAACTTGAGTAAACCTCAGATAGAGCGGTTTCATGGGCGGCGCACAGACGGAGGCCAATGCCATTTTGCCCAAGCTGACAAAATGGCGCTTTAAGGCCCTTTGTTGACACTGGTACATACACACTTACATACTCACACACCCACACATAGCTGGATAGACAGCCGGAGAAAAGAGTGTGATACACTTTAACCGCATTGGATTACTGGGCTTGGCAAACAATTTTGACTTTGCTGGAATTAAATTCCACTTAAAGCGCCTGATCCTGTGGAGAGTACTTGCCTTATTTTTATCGAAGGTTGCGGCTTTTTTTCATTTCTTGATTTCGGTCGGAGAGGAAATATCTCAGAGAATAAACAATGAAATGTGCGTATACAATGCGCGCTACGCACAAAAGTATGCTAATAAAATACAAAAAGCGAGTGAAGAAAATTATGAACGACAAAAAAAAATATATGCGAAACAAATGGTGACACACCTGAGCTTGGCTAGCATGCCATATATCGCATTTACAAAGACAATATTTTCAAGCAAATAGAGCTTACAACAGCTTAGCACACACACGAAAACGCACACACACACATGTAGCGAGAAAATCCACTCGATGTGCTGAAGGATGCTTCCTTCCCGCTCACATGCGGCTAACTCGACAAACGTCATAAAATATGTTCGCAATCAATTTGCGTTTAAAGCAAAGCTGGCTAATACAATTTCTATGGCCGTCTCGCAAAATAATAATAATAATAATAATAATAATAGTCATAATGACGATAATAAAGCATGGCCCGCCAACTTGGCTAATTGGCGCTCATTCATAAAAAAAAGCAAGCAGCAACAGCAACAAAGCTACACCATCGCAGCTCATCTCTTTCGCTCTCTTAAAAGCTGAGAGTCTGCGTGCTAAGCTAACGTATTCTGTTCGTAGTCTGGCAACGCCGCCAGCATAATAAATAATAAACCGTCAGCGTGGCAAACAACAGTTGTTAGCTGCGTTAGTTCAATTTTGGCAGCGCTGGCTAACGGTACTGCGTTGCGCTAGCTAAAAGCAAACCGTGGCAAATAACGGAACTGTTAACGTCTCGTGTGCGTGCGTTCGCCCGTGTGCTTGTGCGTGTGTGTGTGTGAGTGTGAGTGTGCGTGTGTGTTTACGTAGCAGCAGCGTGAGCTGCATGTTCTTAACTATCGCGTGACTTTTTAGCTGGCCAAAATTCACAGCTAGAGTTAAAGGCGCCATTCAAAGGGAAATAACCCGAATATGTTTACGAATTGTTGAGGCCGCATTGAGACCAAGTAAACATGCAAAAACATCGTCAAATTCGCAACAATGTGGAGAAATACTAAGGTACACTCGAAGAAAAAGTGTGATTTGAAACTCATAATCAAAAAGAGATAATAATAATCGAAATTAAAATATTATATTTAGATATTTTTCTATGAATACGAAATTGAACTTTATGATATTGTATGTAATGAGAGTAAAGGCTACTAGAATTAAGCGTTAAATACTAGTCTCTTAGAATTTATGTACTAAAATCAATTTATTTATTTCTTTATTTTTTGATTATTTTACAACTGCGTACAGTGTACTTACATATATCTGCATACACATGCATAGACAGTTAAAATTTAATAATACATAATACTCTTAGGTCATGCTAAATTAGAGTATAATATACTCAATGTTTGCGCTCACTATACTCACTTATCAGCATGAGCTTACACATATTACACATATCTGAATTGTGGTAATAAAATATAAGCTCAATTCATTCCACCAACTACTACAACTACTACTAGAAGATATCTGCATATACTGGCACATAAATCTAATAATATAGTCTCAGCACAGGTCATGCTGTATTAGAGTATAACACACTCGGTTCTTTCGCTCAGTGCACTCACTTATCTGCATATACTCACACATAAATGGCTAAAACGTAACGAGTGCAATTTGAATAACTTAACTTGTGCAATTTGGCTACACGCTTTATATGCATATATGAGTGTTGCCCCGATCCCAATCCCGATCCCGATGTCGACACGGCAAATCGATAAATACTTAAGGAAAGTCCTAAGCCAGAACTACTCCACAGCCATAGCTTCAGCCGCAAGCACAGCCAAGCACCGTGCACGCATATAAGCTAAAACGTTTACTCAAATCCTAAACAGCGGAATTTTAAATGTAGCAATCCAATACCAATATACATACATTGTGTGTTAGTGTGCGTGTATGTGAGTGCGTGTGGTGTGTTACTTTTTGTTCATGTTTTCTGTGCATGTCATTGAACTCAGTGCCCACTTTTTGGTTGTCCTCTTGATTCCTAGATGGCTGATGGGGGGTTGCTTTGGCCTTTCTTTTGGGGGTTGCTAAGTATTCTAATGCTTGTTGTGGATTTGCTGCTTGTACCTCTGTTAGAGCGTTAAAATGAAAAACACTCCACATTTGCCGAATTCAAGATCTTAACTGAACTCTTTATTGCTTAAAATCCTAGTTCTTATATACCTAACAGAGACTCTTAAAACTACTTCCAGTCACTGGAAGGGTGCATTTTCTCACACAAACAAGTGCCCAGATGTTTACTTAAGTGTCCCTTTTTTTTGAATCTTTGGGCCCAGGCTCACGTTACATTTACATATATTAGACGCTGCATTGGTCGCTGCAACTAAGGGATGACATATTTATTACTTTGTGTCGGATAACGCGCAGGTTATTCGAGTACTGTCTCTATTTTTATTATTATGTATGTTCATGTTTGAACAACCTCTGACGCGCGATTAATCGAGCATCTCTCATCCATAGACACAGCTGGCCAGCAGCTGACAGTATATATCTATATATATATATATATATTTATCTATGACTCTTTGAAATGTGCTTCAAGTCAGCCACAGATTTGAAGATTGATAGCCTTAAAGTGGATTTATTTTTATGCAATTCCATTGAAAGTCAAATACAGACTAAGTGAGCTCAACAAAATCAAATGACAATCTCAAAGGAGCTTTCACATATACTTATACATATACAGAATAGCTTCTCATGCTTATATACATACTATATAAAAGCATTTAAGTTTACCTCCCTGATGATGTCACAGCCAACTTCCAACAGAAGCAAAATGCTGCAGAAATATATGTATTGAAATGTATCAAAATAATTCTAGTAAAACTCTTAAGAAAAAATTAATAGTACAAATTAAATTGTGAAATATGAAATTTATATTAGTTCATGCAACTGGCAAATAGAATTTATATTTGCTTTCAATTTATTTAATTTTCATAAAACTTTTCATTTCATTCATCTAAAAATAGGAAACTTTTCTCACAATTAATTAGATTTTGCGCATGAAGCGAACATATGTATTTGAAAGCTTAAAAGCAATTCAAACAATTGCAAAAAAAAAAAAAAAAAAAAAAAAAAACAGTTAAGAACGTTGCAGTCGGACGTAACCAACTGTCTGATACTTTCATCTCATTGAAATACTTTGATCTCATTGAAATTGGTAAACGTATTGGTATATAGTTTATAGAAGATCTCAAAAATGAAATATGCCACGCCTCTACATCTCCTTCAGCTTTAGATGTAGAAGCGTCAAAGTTGTATAGCTGATTTATAAACTATACATTGCACAAAACCAATATACTTCTGGGAACAAGATATACAAAAAATAAACTCGAGGATGCCACAATATTATGTTACGACATAGATTGCATTCATACGGAGAAACTGACAGACGGACAGAAGGACATTGCACACAACAAATTTATGGTAAACGACTATAAACGGCAAAAACTTGCGCAGCTAATAAAATATACTGAGTAAACTCAAATAACTGAAATATTTATGCACTTATTAAATATTCATATTAAAAATGTAAATGTGTAAGTAACAGCAAAAAATGAAAAAATTATTCGTACATTTATTTTATTTGCATCAACTTTTCATTTTTGCATTGATTGATGTGCTGTGCGGAAGCCGGACACAGATCCGTGGTCAAGACAACCAAAAGCTATAAAATTTTCAAATAATAAATCGCACATGTCAGGAGAGTCATAAACAAGTACGAATACCTTTGTGAGGAGTACTCGACTTTCAGATATTCTATAATTTGTAGAAACAGCAGACGGCTTTCAACTGAAAAAAGAAATTTTGGAACATAGAAATATGATATATATTTCATTACTTTTAGATTTTATTTTATATTTTTGTCCAAAGTTAAGTAATTATTCTTGCAATATTCAATTCAACGCAATCAAAGGATCCAACCAATTATTGTAGGGTATCAAAGTGACAGAAATAATATAAACGCCCCACTGAATCGTAAACAGAAACTGTCATAAAATGTGCCCATTTACGAGCGAATTATAGAGTTTTTTTTTTGTGGTGCCGTTAAAGATGGTTTTTAATGTGCCATTAATGTCGTCCGTCTGAAGTATTGGACTTAACTGACAATATCAGTGTACATCTAGTTGTTATAAATAAGTAAATGGAATTTGTATAAATGCGCCACAGTTAGTGTCAGATAATCTTTGCATAAATTCCAATTCCAGTTGTTTATTTCGTCTCGATTACGATGTGAAAAGATGTTCGCCTTGTTCAGAAACACTTGAATATTTTTGGTGTACCATATGAGCATGGCAAATTAGAAATTCCTATTGGAAATCGAAAGAAACTTATGGGGAATTACATTAAAAATAACTATATCATAATGCAAAATATTTCAATAAAAACTTTTGAGAAGATTGCACAAGCTATACATGGAGATCAAAATATATCAACTGTCCTTAAAGAACTCACATTAAAGCACTAGATACCTACACAAGCTAAAAAATTGTTAAAAATTACTTGTCTATCAAACACCACTACACAACAAACTTTAACGATTACACCCTCATCACCCTCCCTTCAGCACCATCTAAAATTAAATAATTCATCACCTATTGACCAAAATTTACCACATATCGTCATAAGAAAAGAGGAATTCATAGAAAATTGGGAAAAATAATAAGTCAGCTGCTCTATGAATTTAACATATTCTATAGACTGGCCTTAAATTATTTGAAATTACGTGTGGGTCTGTCTTATTACTAAATAATTATATATTATATTATATATAATATGATTACAATTTAAGGTATTCCAGGTATTGGGAGATTCCTTCACTGAGACGTAATAAATCCAAAGATTTCTTATACAAACGGTCTTCGAAATTGTTATCAATGCATTTGACAATAACTTAAAAACAATTCAATATATATACACAGCTTAAGCATCAATCAGATATGTCCATTGAAAAAAAAAAAAATATTTGCAGCATTTTCTGTTCAAGCTGTTTGCTGAAGTCGGCCAGATGGAAATGTCAATGCGCGTCTGTTTGAGCTGGTGCCGTGGCCGTTGGGGAAATGTAAATTTTCAATAGAGATTTTCAGTTGTCAGACACCGCTTTTATACCTCTTTGCTGTCAAAAAGGGTTCGGCCACGGCTCGTTGCTCACAATTTCAGCTTCAACTTCTGCTGCTGGTGGCGCCAACAGCTGTTTAATTAGTTTTTCCGGCAAGAGCAACAGATTTTTCCACGCCGCTGCCGAGCGTCAAGTAAATATGACAAGAACAAAAACAAAAAATAAATAAAAATACTAAACAAATAAAAACAAAATGCAAAGCTGCCATTAATTAAGAAGTCCTTTCCAATTTGACCAGCCAACCGGAATGACAGAGGCCACCGACGGAGCAAATACCAAACAAACAAAATTGAGGAGCTGTGCCGTCATCTTGATTGATGTGCTGCTGCGCTCCCTTTCGTTTGTTTTGATAACAGCAACCAAATCTAGACTAATCCTACTCTCTACTAGTAGTTGTTGTTGTTGTTGGGTTGCATACTAATATGGGGCATGCTGTCTAATCTTTGATTAATGAAACGCCAACCTATTTATATCAAATGTCTAATGGCTCTTGTCAACAGTCAAATGAAAGCAAAACCCCTTCTAATCAAAGCTTAAAATATTTAAAATGTAAAGTAAAAAATAATTTTATACAATAGTTTTGCTTGGAAAAAATAAATTATATTTTGATAAAAATTCTTTTATAATTTATAAAAAAAAATATTTAATGTCTATCTCTACATTTTTCTAAACACTTTTCTCTTTTGAAACCTTTAAGACATTTCTTATTGACATTTCCTTGACTGTCCATACTTTTTCATTCATTGATAGCCTTTGCTCTATTTCTTCACTGAAAAAAGGAGAGCTGTTTGAAATTTAATATTGTTGCAGCTGCTCTAAAGAATCAAAGATGTTTGCGCCTCGCTCCTTAAATTATCTGAGCCCAGACTTTGTTATGCCCTTTTTGACCCATTCTTTAATGAGTTGAGGGCATAATTACGCACAGACCTCGTGGGTCATCCTAGGCCCATTATTTAGCTATTTTGGCGTACCTAAATCACACAATTGTTAATTATGTAAAATCAATAGGCCAGCCGCAGCAGCTTGCAAAGGCAAACAAAACACAACAAAAATAAAATTAAAAAAAAAAAAAAAGTGAAAAAAAAAAATGGCCAAGTTAAGATATTTGGGTCGGCAATTAGGGACCGTCCATTGATTTTGGCCAGGCACTGTGGCGGAAAACACTTTTTGTGTATATGTGTATGCATGTTGGTGTGTGTGTGGGTGTGCTTGTGCCTTAATTTAAGCAAATCCAAGAAAACTTTGGCTTTAATCCAGCTATTCAAAGTCTAGGCATGAACGAAATATGTTTACTCACAAGTGGAATTTTCGCTTGAAGTGGAACAAAAACCAATAAAAATATATTGGACTCTCGGCCTGGGTTAGGGTAAGCTAAGTTACGGTAAGGATAAGTGAATGCCTTACCTCGCCTGAAATACAAAACGAACGAGCAATGACGAAGTCCAAACAAAAAGATTTAAGGCAAAGGCCTTTAACTTTACTCAGCTGCTCAACTGCTCATCTCTCGGGCAAGGAATGTGGTCGTATAATGACTTTAGAAATCGACTGACTTTGTCTGAAATCAGTTTTATATGCTTGCCTGCCAAGCGTGCATAAATGCGTTTTATGAGTCTTTTGGGGGATTACTTATGGCTTCTCACCTACCTGCCCCAAAGCAACCGAATAAAATATGAAGGAGGCAATGTTAAAACAAGCGCACAAAAGGATTTTCGTGTACGCAACTTAAGTTTAGGCAAGCATGATAAACACATATTTGCCCTACGCATAGACACATACAGAGATCTCTAAAAATATAAATAGGAATCTTGTCACTTGGGTTTTTTTGTTGCTTATCAGCTGATAAAAGGTTGCTGCGCAATAAAAAACTGTCAGAAGGGGGAAGGCATAAAGTAGAAGGGAAGAGAGGGAAAGGGTAAATGGGCTTACAAAAGGATTTGCATGTCGACAGATTTAGCATCGCGAAAAAATACTCGCGAAAGATGTTTAGAGATATACATACATATATTTGTATATTAATATATTGCTTAAAATCTCTCGTTTACTTTAACTTTTCGCCTTTTCTTATGCCTTTAAGTTTGAATTTTGGTCAAGCATTCTGTCTCTTATTCTTGTTACATAGTCGAAAATGTAATATAATCAATACAATTGATGACCATATAAGAGCATTAAAAGTCGAAATTTCTGACATTCTTTCTGATTTGAATTGTAAGCAATATTTCAGCTATTACGTTTAGATCATTATCATTCAAATGAAAGCTTTGCTGGCAGTGCTTCGAGCTTAAGGTCCAAATTTGAATATGTCTGTCACGCACATTGGCTTTGAGCTCATTCCAAAAGCAAAGCGAAATCTGAACATTTGACATAGCCCCAGAGAAAATGCAAAAATGCAAAATTCCAGGCTTACAAATCGACAGTGGAGCCTTTGCTCAACTGTTGCAAAACCTATAGCTTTTCAAAATGTTAAATGAAAAGGAATTCATAGAAATGCCACATTAATCTATGGTCTGGGTTTTACGTGTAAATTACGTGTTAGGTATCTGTAAAACCTTGAATAAATATAATGTGGTTTTCGTGAATGAAAAACACTACGATATTATTTTTAGTGAACGACTAAAAACATTTATTATTTTTTTACAAACAACAAATAAAATTTTATAAAAAGAAGTATACGATTCCAAAGGAAACCACATATATGTAAAAATGTTGTATAAATAACAGTAAAAATACAAATTATATTAATTTTAAAAAAATAGTAAAATGAACATACATTTTTGTGAATTGCCACAGCTGCATGGCTTGTTTCACAATAACTGTAGCTGGTTATTGCTAATTTTTGTTTTATTTACTTTCAGCTAAAATTAATTCATGATCAAATAGTAAATCATTGGGAATATTTTAATCATCAAGTCTCATTAAATAAAGGCTGAAATATACTCTCATTCTTATTTGGTCAACTCAGTCAGTCAATATTTTCCAGAACTTGATCTATATGCTTCGCTTAGTTATAATTCAACATGTTATCTGCTTATAGCAATATTCACCATTCAACGTGTAAAAACAAACAGGAATCTGCTTCATCTTAGTTTGCTCAACTAACGTTTTTCTTTAAGAAACTGCAAATAAAGCATGACATAATAAATGACTCATTCTCTCTGTCTCTTTTTCTCTCTCTCTCTGTCTCTCATACTCTGTTTGTAACGGAAACCCAGATTTAAAAACTTTGAAAAACTTTTGCTTATCCCAGTTTTACTTGTGGCAAAAGGAAAATCCAGCGATTTTATGATGTCCGGTTATAAAAGCCACACGCCGGAAGCTGTTGCTCTGTGTGTGGACACAAGAAAGCCCACTGCTCGCTGCTCCCTGCTCACTGCTCCAATGCAGCCAGAGGCTGAATTGCTGCTGCTCCAACTGCAAATGAAGTAACTCTATAAAAGATTTCAGGTGGCAGACATCTGCCAACGCAGCAAATCAAAGGTTCCCGGATCTAACCAAGGGAACGTCAGTTAATGTGTCAAGGTGACATTTGGCCTGGATACGAGTAACCATGCCACCACTACCCACGACTCGATTGCCCCCTCCATGTTTTCCATTAACCGTTCTTCCTGGCCGGAACCGGGCTAAGGCTTCCCGCTGCTCACTTTCTTAGGCAATCACATTAAGCGAGTGCTATTGCTGTTGTTATTGTTGTTGTTGTTGGTGGTGTTGTTGTTGTTGCTGCCACTGCCAATGTTGCCGTCTGTCTGCTGGTGTTACACTGTCATTTTCATAAAATATTTAAATACGTAAAATGAGCGGTGGGGCTCACAAGACCAACAACAAATCAAGTTTCATGTTTTCATCTTAAAAATCGCTGACTGTGCAATACACTTCAAATAGAATAAATTTAAAATAGTATAAATTTAAAAATATTAGAATATTTAATAAAATTTATTATACAAATTTATCGCTCTTGGCAAAAATCAGAAATTGTTGGTATCAAATTTTATATGCAAGATAAAAATATTTATGTTAATAAAAAACAGAACCAACCAAAAATTATAAGATATTCAAGAACTGCAGTCTTAACTTTTTTTATTATTAATAAATGTTATATATAGCACACTACTGGAATGTCAAAGTTTTATGAGAGCATCAGCCACCGAAATAGATTTTTAATTCAGGCATAGAATATAAATAGTCAATAGGACGCAAATATAAGCTGGCATTTACATTAGGCATAGGGCCCTACATCTCTCTCTTTCTCTATCTCTCTCTACCTGGCTGTGTCTTTCTCTCAACCGCCTCATATTCGTATATATATTTCGCAACTCTCCCTTCCAACTCTGCATATCTTTCATTTTCTGAGACCCATTCCTCTCAGCTTTCACTATCGCTCTCTCTCTCTCTTCCAAATCATTCTCTGTGGGTGCATCCTCTCACTCTCTTTCTTTTTTTTCTCTCTCTCTCTCTCTCTCTGTCACTAGTTTTCTCTTTCCAGCTCTATCTCTCTACTCCTTTTATCTCACACTGTCTCTCTCTTTCCCTCTCTCTCCCCCAGCATGTGTTGTCTCTCTCTCTCTTTCTCTGTTTCATTTGTCGCTCTGCGTTTCTATCTATCTCTATTATTATTGCTCTATCTTTTCCCTTTGTTGTTTCCCTCTTGCTCTATCTCAATTCCTTGCACTATGGGTAAAAAGACCGATTTTTTGGCATAAATCAAAAAAATTGTTTTTTCAGTATCCGCCAACTGTTTTCATATTCTCATTTAGAAAACTCCAGGCCTTGTTCAATAAGTGCTGAAAGTAAAGCGAATATGCCCATTTTCATTGCGAAACTGAGTATAAGCAGCAGTAAAACGGTATATTGTATATACATATATACAAATATATATATGTATATGAATGTCGACTATGTGTAATGAAACAACTTAAACTCTGCAGCTGCCATTTACATTGTTGTTGTCGTTGTCGTTGTTGTCATTGTTGCTCTTTCTGGACACGTTGCTTCGACGCCATTTTGTCAGCTCAATTCGCCTCCCTGGAGATGTATTCTGCTGGTGTGAGTTTTCTGTCCCTCTTTGTTGTTGTTACCCCTCCGATTGTTCATTTGAATATCTTAAAGGTAAGAAGTTTAACTGGAATTGTAGAAGTGCATAATACATAGAAATTAGTTAAAACTTTGAGTAGCATAAGTATGACATATACATATCATAGATATACATATGTATATATAAGCTCTATTTTATTAAATTTCCATATTTCCATATACATGCTTGAGCTCGACCGTTATCCAGGGTTGAGTAAAATTACTTGCAGCAAAACTTTATGCAATTATTTTCTTCTACAGAAAATATGCAAAAGGTGGGCAAACTTTTTCACATTTACCTCAGAGTATGCAATGCAGGCAGTGCCCGTAGACAATGAAAAGCAGGTGCTAATTGGCAGCGTCACTAATTAATAAGACTCTGAAAGCATGAACCTTAAGCAAAGGCAAATGACTTTCCCATTTCACTCAATTCCCAATGCCACACAGCATAAAGTTTATGCAAATATTTAAATATACATTTATGTGTATATACGTATATTGAAGAAAATATATATAAGAATTGCCCCACACGCAGAATGAAATGGAATAAAATTGATATGTTTACAGTTGTGGGTGGGCGGACAGAAAAAAATGGCTAGGAAACGGAAATCGCTTACGGGAACCTGCTGATGGAAACTGTCAGCCGAGACTTTTGCGTCAGCAGCGCATTGATGGACGACCAAAAGGATGACTAAGCCATTGCCCAGCTTGACAGAATTGTTTCAATCAATCATAAAACGAACTGCGCGAATGCGAATGGACGAGCTACGATTTGAGCAAAAACAAATTGTACGAAATAAGAAAGAAAATCGAACTGTGATTACTCTGACCATAGGAATTTTATGCGGAATTGTGATAGAATTAATCATATTTAAAATTTGGAGATCTGTCAGCTTACAGAATGTGGCAAAGAACTGCTTATGTACATATATAAATGTGAATACTTATATGCCTACTTTAAATAAATATACATACATACAAATCACAGTTATTAGCAGGTTGACTCAACAGATACCGACATATTTTTTGCCTGCAATAAATAGAAACAAGTGAGAAGACTCTAGTCGAGGCTGCTCGACTAGGAGATACCCTGAACCCTCTAATCTGATATTCTAATCACTCTGCACTTCTTTTCGACACACATACATACACACGCACGTATTAGAACGCGCTCTGCTAACTGCGCAGTAAGCAGCGAATTATTATAAGAATTTATTTGTTGAATAATTTAATTTATAGATGTACAATCTTAATGATCGTAATCATCATGTTCAATTGTATGTACATTCCAAAGCACAAGTCTTTAGTACTTGAAATACGCCTTTTACAAAGGTGAGGGTGAGGGGTGGATATAGGGGTGGGGGTAAATTACAACAAAAATCGAAATTATATACATTAAAATTTTTACATTTAAAATTTGCAAGGTCTAGCTCTAAAGGAGATATAATTAAATAACTAGCTTTCGATAAGGTTTTTGATCGATAATAAAATATCGAGAGTAGTATCGAGAAAAACTCGATATACGCGTGATATACACGGACCTAGGAAAAAAATTTCAAGTCTCTAGCTCTTATATCTTCTGAGATCGACGCGTTCATACATACGGACGGACGGACGGACGGACAGACAGACGGACAGGGCCAATTCGACTCAGCTCGTCGCCCTGATCAAGAATATATATACTTTGTGGGGTCTGCCACGCCTCCTTCTGCCTGTTACATACTTTTAACAAAACCATTATACCCTGATTTCCCATTTTCAATGGGTTCAGGGTATAATTACTATACTCATGGTAAAAAATCTATTAAAAAGCAAATCTTATTGACTATGTCAACTGGTGGGGAGTGGTACAAAAATAAAAAAAAGAGTAGAAAATTGTTAAAGATGATTTTTATCTCTTTGAATGCTATTGCAATTATTCGACTATCGACTGACGGATACAGAGCCAATGCTAAAATTGAGAACTATTGTGAAACATGAGTGTGTTAATTTGTTAGATGCTTGATTCAATTGATGGTTGTGCACTAGCGATTCCACTGCTCCAAGAGCTTGACAGCCGTCTGTATGTTGCCAGCGGACATCAGCAGGGCGCAGATGTTGCGCTGTCGATCGGTGTGCCCCAAGGTGCTCAGGTGGCGCAGCTGCGATTGGTAGCGCTGCTCCCAGCGACTGTCGTTGCTGGACATGAAGTCGAAGAGATTGATGGACGCTGCTGCGGACGGTGCAGCACTAGCCGCAGTGGCTCGAGCCGGAGTAGCTCGAGTCGGAGTGGCCACAGCCACTGCAGCTGGAGCTGCCTGTGGTTCGCCTTGCTTGGCGGTGTTGAGTCGCATTCGGGGGTTCAGTTCAATTTGTGCTGAGTCCGCCATCTCATTGAGTTGACGTGCAAGCTCGATCGTTTTGTTGATGTCGCCCAACTTTAGGGACTCCATCATGCGCTCACATTGCCGCGCTAGATCCGCCACCGTATATTCTTCATTGTCAGTAGTATTCGTTGGGATCGGTTCCGGCTTGGGCTCGACGCGCCAAGGATTAGGCAGCGGCATCCTATTTTCGCGTCCACGCTGTGGATAATCGCTGCAGATGGATGGCTCCGCCTCCAAGTAGTTCATGGCCACGTTGTCCTCGTGTGCCTGGCGCAAGAAACGGCTAAGCTTATTCATCAGACTGTAGCCACCCGGCACCCATTCCATGCGCATGATGTGCAGGTCGCGCTTGCGACCCAGCTCCTGCACCTTGGCCGGATTGAAGATGGTGGAGAAGAGATCACGCAAATTGCGATCACTGCTCATAAAGTGGCGAAACGTTGTATTCTCATCGATCAAGGCCTTGATGCGCGGATCCGCCTGCAGCAGATCGCGCAATAAGTTGATATCCTCTAGCAGCGGCTTCAATAGGTCGTTGGCTCTCGAAATCCAGTTGCGGTTGTTCGCTGACGACGAGGTGTCAGCTGCATTGTTTTTTTCGTTGTCGTTGCCGTTGGCATTGCTGTCGTCGTGCTCATCGGACGGCTCCTTAATTAGCTGGCGAAAAATCACATGAACCGTGACACCCGAGATGATGCCGTGACTATCGATGGTGCCCACGTCGCGCAGCACGTGTCCGCCAAAGACGAGCACCACATAGTCGATGGCCTGCTCGAAGCGCACCGCCACCAGGGCACGCAGGTTGCTAATCAGCTCGTTCTGGCGCACCGAAATCAGCGCCGAGCCGCTGCCCGTCTTGGCGGTTATATCGATGGACTTGCAGCACATGGCCTGGGCGAGTAAAGACTCCACGACAGAAAAAAAAAAAAAAAAAATTAGTGAAAATCTAACGGCTGCAATCGTCTATTTCAATCTGTTGTGTTTGTATTATTGTATAAATGAATATGTTTTACTGTATGACAACTGGGACTCAGTTGTCGAATACCAACAATATGTGTGCTTTTCCGGTCAGTCGACTTCGAAGACAGCTTTCAAATGAGTCAGTACTTTCGCGAAGCTGCTGATGGGCACTTGTCGTGCTTTTGTGAGTCACGACACGGCACGATATGAATCGCAATTGACATGGAACGTTCGTGTCAGTGGATAAACAAGTCTATATAGAGAATACAAATTTAATATAATTTTTGAAAATATAGAAAACTTTTCAATGAATTTAATTTTTTTTTTTTTTACTAAACTTAGCTTGCCTTAAAGGTATATACTTGGCATATGGGTATTTTTAAAAAGCCGTGCAGCTCGAACTGTATAGGGTTGCCAGGCTAATTGGAAATATAATGTAGCACGTGCTTATTTTTCACTATTAAATATCAAATATGAGGGACCCGAGCGAATGCGATGTTGTACATACGTACATGCATAGGTGTGTGCATATGTATGTGTGTATATAAGTATGTACATATATTGAGAAAATTTGTTCTAGAAGTCTCAGCTATGTATTAGTTGTATGGTATGTATGTATGGTTAGGGGCTCTAGGTATGTATATACATACAGACATATGTATACATATGTACATGTCCTTTGAGACCATGTACGAGCATAAATTTTCTCAAAATTGGGTATAAAAACAAGTTTACGCAATAAAAATTCAGTCCAAAGTAGCAAACTTTTCATATGTATAACAAATTTTAGAATTTCTTTGTTTTTTGCATCTGTGCAATTCAAATTCTGTATTTTAACTATACAATTCTATAAAAAATGTCTCTAACATATATTAATTATCCCAACAGTCCACATTCTGTTTCTTAAGTTATATATTATTAGTTTTACTTAAACAACTCGATTAGCTTTACATTTGAAATTTAAAATTGATTTAGCCAAAGTCGAAGCAACTTGTTTATTATGTAAAATTCTATCTATCCATCTATAACAACACACATTTTACTACTCTTTTAGGTGCGCCGCAATGACTTGCCACTGTCTAATAACAATATTCTCAATAACGACAGCAACAACCAGGACAACAACAACAGCAATAAGAAGTCACTGGCTGAGCTCCGCTAGTCAGGCAAACCAAGTCTGAGGGCAGGACATGACAGCGAATCAATTGAATTCAATCAAATTGCCACAAACAACTGTCTATGGGCAGAGCGGGGAGCAGGTGAATGTGGTGGTGGCAACGCAGTCGTAAACACACCAACACAAACAAGCGCCACAGCAACAACAACAACGACAACAACAACTAGAAAACCCGCCAGAAAGGCTAAACCTTAATGTAGCTACAAAATGGGCGCCAATTCGTCGACCCGATCCGACCCAAATCTGCACCAGGATGATGACGGTGAGTAAACTATCAAACTACAATATTTTTATTAGCTGCAAACGTAATGTGAAAAAAGGGTTTTTCATAAACAAAATAATTTAGCTTTTGATTGATATTGACTCGAACTGTCATACGATAGTCTTCAGTTATGAGGAGCTGATGAAATAGGGGGTTAAGTTCATGTCTAAGAGATTAGTTTATATGGAAATGCACAGACGGAACAGACAGACAGAAGTAGAGGCCTTAAAGGCTTCAACAAACCCCCTGCTAATCAATAGTACTGTTCAACAATGAAATATGTTATTACATACAGTAATTTAATGCTGAAAGCAATTTAAGATATTAAGAACGAAAGTTTTGAGAAAATTCCAAGTATTGCTGCTGCACAGTGTAATTTTTATATGTATATACACAATTAGTCGCTTCAGAGTCGCTTCTTTTCGGTTGGGTTTCACCTTTCATTTAAAAATTCTAATTGACTTGCGAATATGAAATGAGCTGAGCTCATCTGGCTAATACAGCAGCACCAAGGACGAGCTATTTGCTTGAGTTCTAAACGAACAGTCAGCAGCAGACAACATAACTCAGTAGCTATGGCATTGAAATTCTAAATAATTATAGTATTTGCAGCATCGACTCTCAGCACGCGGCGCAGAGCTTTTGAAATTGGGAGACGGCCATGGAGCGTCTGGATGAGCTTTGCCTGCAGCTGATATTGCAGTATCTCCGACTGCCCGATCAGCTGGCCATGCTGCAGTGCGATGAGCGTTGCTATGCGCTGCTGGGCAGCCTCTGGCGTCGTCAGCTAATGCGGATCGAGCTGAATCTGCTGCAGGTGCCGATCTGCACAGAGATCTTTGAGTTCCTCATTCTCAGCAGCTGTCGCGAGCTGCGAGTGCTCAGGCTCAACTATGTGGACAAGGAGAAGTTTGAAGTGCTGGTTAGGCATAGGTTTCCCAAGCTCCAGATGCTCCAGATCGATGCGCTGCCTCCCTTTTTCCTCTGCCATGAGAAACAGCGTCAGCTAAAGGAAATAATACTCCATGAGAAACATGAAGAGAGTGGCGTGAGCCCGGTTGAATCATGGACTGCAAATACAATAAACAAAACTTCTTTAAAATAACAAAAATATTATTTTATGTAAGCAACAGAGTCTATTAATAAAATTGTATTAAACTTGGCCTATCTCTGATTGACTGTTAGACTAAATGCTAGATTGACACACTGATCTATTATCGATTGATTGACTAAGTATCTGATTGATCGAATCATTGAATGATTGGTGATTGACGAATGATAGGGTGACTGACTGAATAAGTACATAATGATTAACCCGCTTATTGACTGACTGACTGATTGACTGTGGGCCTGATGATTTCTAAGTACTCTTAAAAAGCTTTCAATATTTCTGTTGATTGATTTTTAACAATATTCCAAACATGAGAGAGTTTATCTATAATATAATTTTTCCCATGATAATTCCAACCTAAAAATTTTAGAAGATTAGCAGAATAATACTTACAATTATAATTTTCCTTTCAGTTAACTTTGATCATTTCCAAATACTTCGCGCCATTGGCAAGGGCAGCTTTGGCAAGGTAAGTCGACGCGCTGAATGCGGTTAAATGAATGTTGTAAATCTGCGTGTGCTTTACAGGTGTGCATTGTACAGAAGCGGGATAGCGGTGTCCTCTATGCCATGAAATATGTTAGCCGTTCAGTGTGTGAATCGCGTGGCGCTTTGGGCGGTGTGATTAAGGAGGTGGAGCTTTTATCCTCATTGGAACATCCATTTCTAGTGAATTTATGGTTCTCCTTTCAGGGTAAGTATACACACACACGCACACACTTACACAGTCACTCACACATCAACAGTCACATACAGTCACATAGTTACATATGCAAATGGCGAGGCTCACCTGTAGAGCGAGCTCCACCGCCGCTGATTGCCAATCAAAATGCAAATTAACTACTCGTATGTGCATTTCTTTTGATGTCAGAGCACTCACTTGTTCCACATATCTATCTTCTTGAACTTTTGACTCCTTACACACACACACACACACATGCATATCTGCTATATATGTGTGTGCGCGCTGCTGCGGATTAACCAACACAGATGAGGAGGATTTATTCATGGTCTGCGACCTGTTGACGGGCGGTGATTTAAGATACCACTTACAGAACCGAGTAGGTTGTTACTATTGCTGCTGCTGCTAAAATTAAACTTTACGATTCTCGAACATCTTGACAGGTGGAATTCTCTGAGCAGAGTGTGGCCTTATTAGTGTGCGAGCTGGGCAGTGCCCTGGAGTACCTACAAACACATCGTGTGATCCACAGGGACATTAAGCCCGATAATATTCTACTGGATGATGCAGGTAAGTTTAACAAATAAGCAAAACACAAACACATACTCACACACGCACACACACACACATTAACTCCTATAGTCAACAGCAAGTTGGCAAGCAGTTTTTTGGCCAAGTTCAACAAAAAGCCAAAAAGCATCCATAATTCATTACAATGTGTCCTACGTTCGTGCTCAAAAATTTATTGATTTCATGTGCAAGGGAAAGTTTTGTGCCCCAGCGAATACTTGAGAGCAGCCTCAAATTATTCATATGCTATGCCTGCCTGTCCTGCCAGGCTAAGCAGCATTCATGCCGCCTCCCACCTTCCACCCTCCACCTTTCAACTGCTAACTGCCAGCTGCCACCTTCCATCTGACACTTGCCCCTTGGCTACTTAACATATCTTATTTATTTAGCTTGAACGTATTTACATTTAAATTTATGACTAGACATATTAATGTATTTTTTGTTTTGATAAGGAATAAAGCGTGTTATATGTGTTATGAGATTAATTCTTATAGTACATTAAAGCTGTAATATATAATTTAATAAATTTAAGACCAATTTGCCTGGATTAAATATGAGCAATAACAAAAAAAAGAGTAGCATAAATTCAGAACTGTTAAAGATATCATTTTGTTTTTATTTAAATATTCATTTATGCCATTATGAAATCATATGTATAGCATATCACGTAAATGAACGAAATCTGATATATAAATATGTATCATCTATATTAAATATCACAATAGTTATATCCATTAGCTTTTAAAACTTTCCCAAAAAATTATATATTAAATATGGTAATATGTCTTAAAATAAAAAAAAAATAAAAAAAGTTTAATTAGAGAAAAGCTTATTTCCTTTACATCAACATATTTCCACACCACAGAGCATAATTAGAGCTTCATTTATGCATATAACATTTCTATTGATTTTTCAATGTTTTATATAGAGAATATATTAACTAATTAAATGCCTGATTGCAATAAAATATAACATTAAGAATATTTTATTCCCCATTATTCAATAATTTGATTTAATTGGCTAAATGAAATTTAAGAATTTCAAACGATTCATATCCGAACATTTTCTTGTATATATTTTTTAATTGTTGTTAATCTTTATTAACCGTCCAGTTAAGAAATGATTCAGTTTTAATTAAATTTTAATGGTCGCAAAAGATTTTTAGCAGTAAAAAAATGAATCTCAATTTGTTATGCGAAAAGAGAATGGCAATCGCAACTGCAATCGCTGAAAATATTCAATTCAATTAACGGCACACACACATACACCTACACTTATACAGTAAAAGTCAATATCAATGGTCTATGGGTAATTGGAAACCAATTACGTGCAATTAATTGCAGGGCACGCTCATTTGACTGATTTTAATATTGCAACGCGGTTGCAGAAGGACTCGCTCGCCTGCAGTATGTCGGGCACGAAGCCATACATGGCGCCAGAGGTCTTTATGTGCGCACTGGAAGAAGTTGGTAAGTGGTAAAACTCACACACACACACAGGGGATGGAGTAGGGCACAGTGGGTGCCATGGGTGCTCCATCCTGCCGACACGACAAATCAAATTTTAGCCGGTCTTGCAAAAGTGGAAAATAAAACTAAAAATATTACAGCTGGGTGTAACGAGCTGCTTAATACTCGCCTTTAGTGTACTCATTTGATTAAACTTGAGAGAAAAATCATATATGCAAATTAGAAATTCGAATTGATTATTTATGGGTGGGAAAAGAGAGTTTCGTTGCGATGCCACAAATCAAAGTTTATCAGGGGGAAACATAGCTCATATGTACATTAGATGGTTTGCTTCAATTGAGTCCCTAAAAGGAAACCCTAATTAACTAAGAATATATTGCGAAGAATATATATATATATATATATATATATATATATATATATATATATATATATATATATATATATATATATATATATGTATGTATTTGTATATATACTTGGTGCTTTTTCACTTCTCCAATATACGTATGCATATAGGCGGGTAAACCAAGATCTGATATTCCAATTTTCATACAGGCAAGCGAGCAGCTAACTAAAGCCAATATACATATAACTTGTTAACTTGTTGAATGAGTGACAAAAAAAAGGCAAGCTTTATTAAATGTTTCCGGTTCTTTGCCTAATCCAATTTGCAGCCGGATACAGTTACCCGGTGGATTGGTGGTCCCTGGGCGTTGTGGCCTATGAGATGAGGTCGAACACACGACCATTTGTGCTGCACTCGCACACGCCGCTGGTGGAGATTAAGAATATATTAAACAGTGCGGTTCATTATCCGCATTACTGGAGTCACGAATTTATTGATCTGCTGCAGAAGGTGAGTGCGTGTCCAGGGAAAACTCCAAAGTCAAAATCTAATTTGATTCTGACGTTCCTAGTTACTCTGCGTACATCCGGGCGCACGGATAAGCACACAGCAGGAACTGCATCAGACGCCGCTGTTGCGGCATTGGGACTTCCAGCAGGTGTTGCAGAAGAGTATAAAGCCCGCATTTAAGCCACCCGAGGATCATCTCAACTGTGATCCCTGCCTGGAGCTGGAGGAGATGATTGTCGAGACGCGGCCGCTGCACAAAAAGAAGAAGCGACTGGCCAAACAGCGGTCGGCGCAGCGGGACAGTGATCCGGAATCAACGCTCATCAAGGAGTTCATTGTCTACAATCGCTTCAAGGAGCTCAAGCGCAAGGCCATGGAGCAAAAGGAAAGCGACTGGCAGCGCGAACTGGAGCTGGCCATGGCCAATTCCATTGTCAACAGCCTGGCGCCCATACAGGAGAAGCCCACATCATCGCAAGCCACGCCCACATCAACAGCTAACAACGCCTGTGGGCGATCGCCCAGCTCGCCCTCGGACGGCCAGCCCAAAGAAAGTGATATCATTGAATTTATAGATCGCACACCATCGCCACAGGCGGCACAGGCGACGACCACGTCGCGCAGATTCTGCTGCAAGACGAACACAATACGGGAATAGAGAATGCACATTTAATCCAATGCACCGACTAGTCCACAGGTTTCACACCTACGCATAGCTAAAACACACCTGCATCCAGTTACAAAATTTGCATGAAGCTGGCCAGAAAAGTTTTCCATATGAGTTCGAATAGTATTTAGCAAGACACAAAATAGTCATTTCAATTAATAGACCAACCAACCAGGGCCAGCCTCATCGCCCCACCCATGTCTGAGCTACCGAAGCCTTCTACAAGGATCAAATTAAATATTTTTCGAGCAAGCATTAAGCCATATAAACCATATATAGTAACAATTTGTAACCACAGGAAACAGGAACCGATGCCGATTTGCACCTTTGTATATACATATACTATATATAAACTATTTTATAAATGTTGCAATTGCCTCTGTTTTCAACTGTATATATACATATATATATATATATATATATATATATATATATATTAATATTATGTAATGTATTTCGATATACATTTACACCTATTTTTTAGATGTTAGCCGAAAATCAAAATAAATGGTAATGTCCCCTTAAGACAGCGTTTATCTATATAATAATGGAAGGGATAATTCAAAAGCTGCGTCAATTCCATTTTTTTGTTTTTTATTTTTATTTCAAGTTATATTTCATTCATGTTTCACATAAGTTTTTTGTTTTAATTTGTTTTCTTTGTATAAAAAAGAGTAAATAATTACGGTTTGTATGTATAAATGTTTGCTTTCTGTTGTTGTTGTTGTTGTTTTCACAAATTTCTTGATCTTCATTGTATGTTAAAATATATTTAATTGTATGGGTTGTGTTCGTGTGTATAAATGTATTTTTGGGGCGCAAACACTAACCAAAAAAATTACAATAATCATATTTTATTGTTCGTTTTTATGTTTCTTTCAGCAAAAATGCAACATGTTAATAGTTTGTTAATTCAAATGTTTTCAATCCAGTTTTTATATATATTTTTTTTTTTTTTCAATTATTTTTATATATATTTTTTTTGTATTTTTGCTTTTTTTCTGTAGAATTTACGAATATCAACATTTTATACACAGATCCCTCAGCCATAAAGCTATGTATTCTCCCCCGAGACAACAGCTCAACTGTTCTCGGGGTCGTATGCATTCAGCCTTTGGCTGGGGATCGTGTGTTAAAGTTCAGAGGAAAATGTTAGAAAATCGTAAAATATATACATATATATATAATTCTTTTTCCTGCCATTTGAGAAAGGACAAGTTAGTGAAGTAGGATTAATACCTAGCTTGAAATGATGATCCACTTGCAAAATGTAGATCGAGTATTTCATAAATATTATTTATGTTTTTGTTATTGTTGCTTTTTTCATTTAACGAATTCTTGTCGTAGTGTTTTTCTTTTAAGCAAAAACAAATGCACTTGTTTAGAAAAAGCGTCAGAGTTTTCGGTTAGGAAAAACAAATTATTGCTGTCGCTTAAGTTTTGTTGTGTGTTAGAAAGAGAGAATGAGAAGAAACTACAAGCTGAACATTGAAAATTATTATATGAAAGTGTGTGGGTATGAGTTTTCCTTTTTTTTTTTTTTTTTTTTTGTTTTTTTTAAGTTTGTATGTATGTTTGTGTGTTTGTATGTGTGTGTATGATGTATGTGTGTTCTTTGCCGATTCTGGAGCTCAATTCAGTTTGTGTGTTTGCTTTGTTTGTGTTACTTTTGTGTTGTGTCTAAACAAAATGTTACTCTTTTTCGTTGAACTCCACATGTGGCGCTGGCGGCGGACATCCGCCGTGGCCTTTTTGTGGCAGCGCTACCGAATTGGTCATACTATACTGTGGTTGTGTCCACAGACTCAATACGTGAAGCGCCACCCTCGCCGACATTACCAGCACTACCGTCCTCGCCATTCACATTGGCATTACCACCCTCACCAGCACTGGTGTTGCCACCAGCATTCTTTTTGGCGCCAAACTTAAGTAGCTCCACATTGACATTGATGGTTTTCGTTTGCATTGGTGCATTCGCGGTCTCAGCTGGTGGCTCTTCGGCTCCCGCGGCCGGTGCTGTTTCACCACCGGTGGTGATGGTCAGCGAGAGATCGTTTAGCGACTTGAGCACCTTGTCAACATCATCTTGGGTGCTTGGAGCGCCATTGCGATTTCCAAAGTGCAAGAAACACTTTCCAAAGTGACCTGCACATCAAATTCAATAATTTAGCACATTTATTGACATGAGAATTTGTTACTTGTTGTAAACTTACCCTTCCATGTAATCGACAATGGATTACATTCGCGTTTACGCAGCTCTGTCTTCAGATCCTTAACACGAATGTCGCGTGTCAGGTTTGTCAATTTAACACAGAAATCACGATGCGGACGATTCTTCTTCTTAGGGCGACGTTCACCCGCACCACCCTCATCAAATTTACGATCTTCACTCTTAACACCAACCTCGACTCCAGACTGGTCGCCCTCAGACTGCAACGAACGATATTCTTAGTACTAGATTCCAAAATAAGGAATTAATTATTATTTACCTTGTTTGTGCGTCTGCGACGGTTGATAAAACGACCTTTGCGGCGTGGTGTACGCTTCTGCGTATTATCCTGTGTTAAAAAGATATTTGTTTAATAACAATCATTTCAAACATATTTAGCAAACGTACGCCTTGTTGTTCGTTGTCAGTCTGTGAGGTGGTGCGTCCTGGGTTTCCTCGTTGGAAGCGACGACGCAACGGTCCACGACGGCGTCTACTATTCTGATGCTGCTCAATATCGGTATCCTCCTCCTTCAATGTTATCTTCTTACCCGATTTCTCCAGCTGCTCCTTAAGTTGCTGCAGCACAGGCAAAATTTTCAAACGACGTTCAGACAACAGTTCCCAGAAAACACCACTTGGACGTGGCAAGCGCTTGGCCACACGTATCACCTCGGTTGGTGTTACAATAATGTCCACTGGTGTATCGTATTTTTGGAACAAGTTTACGGGCAAAGTATCAACAACTTGCACGTCATGCACAATTGTTACAATGGCCGTTTCTGGGGTTATGACGCCCAGCTCAATGAGCAAACCAATGTCCAAATCGGCAAAACCGTTGCCACGTCCAATGCGATAGCCATCACGTGATACGACCACCGAACCAATGACAACCAGATCGAGCTTCAGATTGGTGTCTAGACCAATTTCCGAACGGAATTTTTGTATATCCTGGACACGCAATGCTTCTTTCTTCTGCTCATCGGTGGCATCGGCTGGCACATCGACTTTAAGGCAAAGCGCGGGAGAGTCGCGAGTGCTGGGCAAATATACGGATTTATTGGCCAGCAAGGACAATTCCTTAAAATCGTGCAAGGCGCGATCAATGTTCACTTTGATGTGCTCTATAAAAACGTATGCACATTATAGAGGATATCTATTGTTTGGCTATTAGATAAAAAGCATTACTTACGTGCTTTCTTAAACTCCTCCTCCTGAATGAGCAATGCAGCGGCCTTATCGGCATCAACAAACGCAGGAATACGGTTGAAAATGCCATTAAAGCCGATTCCAACTTTGCCCTCCTGGATTTTCTTCCAAGTTTGAACGCGCAGCGAGCGCTTTGTTGGCTCTGCGGGCTGAGCTGTTAATGACACACCTATACATTAGTTAGCTGTTATCAACAGGTATATAAGATCTTTATAGCCAATATCGGTTAGCTTTAAATATAGGAATTTCGTTGCTTTTCTCAATATATTTACAACTTATATTCTATATGCATGATTCAACTTTGCGTGCTGCTATCGTTGTTCATGGATGGCGTTCAGGGGGCTAAAATTAAACACAAACAAACGCGACTGCCGCGCTAGAGAGCAGATAGCAGACTGACAGAAAGCACGAAGCACAAAGCTGAACGAGCGCCTGTTACATGAAGAAAGTGAGTGCAGCAGAAGCAAATCTCGCTTTACCGGCACCAAGCGAATTCATTTTGATTTGTCAGCAGTTGTTTTCTTATCGCTGACCCATGATTAAAGCATGTTTGTTATCACATCAGGTTCATGTCGCACTATACTTCTATGTATGGCTGATAAACCGGTTTTCACGCCCAGTAAAAAGATATTTTCCGTACTTATTCAGTTAGAATAATAGCTAATGGCAATATGTATAACGAACAAAAAAACTTCTAAAAACATTTGCTGTCGCCGCTCAAAAAAAAAAAAAAAAGTAAAATAATGAATCTAAAATGCATACATACGTACATTTATTTAAATTAAGACAGTAATTAAAATTGCAAAGAGCAAAGCTAAAATTAAGTGCTTTGTATATGTGTGCGTGTGTGTCCAAAACATTAAAAATATCGATATTGACGTATGACCAATAAGTTGGCAACTCTGCGGCAACGCACACACACGCACTCACTCAGTTCCAAACATACACACACACTCACACTACATTTCTCAGCGATGAGCGCATCAAGACGCGCGAATTTTTCAATTAATATGTATGTAAATGTACATATATGCAAAATGTAGTTCTGTTGCTGCTGCTTCTGCTTGCAGGAAGAGCAAGGGAACAGCAACACACATGCACACGTACATACCCAAACTTGTAGTTCGGCTAACTATGACATTAGCGCGAGAGCAAAAGGAAAGAAAAAAGAAATAGAAAAGAATGTACAACATAGTCATATGGGCCAAGAGCAGCTAAAATGGTAGCCGAAATGATTCATTGCGTACTATTTGGTAGTTTAAAATAGTAATTGCAGCACTTGTAGCATTTTGAGCATAAAATTCCGCGCTCCGGTGACGTAATGAATAAGAGAAAACACACAAAACTATATTATTGAGCAACAAAATAAAAGCTCATAGGAATATATGTAGAAACGTTTATATACATATGTATTTGTGCACTTCCATACATACACATTTGTTAATTGTTGTTCTTTTTGCTGTACTTCTTTTTAATTTCTTTGCTCGTTTTGCTTTCCGTTTTACAGTTTTCTAATAGAGAAATGACAGACAGTATGTCAGCTCGTATTTACCGCTAGAATAGGTAAAAAAAATTCAAGGAAATATGGCGGCAATTTGACAACTTTTGTCATTCGCTATAAGAAAAATGGCCGTACGAAAAAAAAAAATAGGCAGGCAGGGGTGCTCCTTTGCCCTTGTTCCACTTTTTATGTTTAGGGGCAGATCGCAAAGCACGATATTGCGAATATTAGGCCCGGCAAATAAATACTTAAATACATACACATTTATATATCTATACGTACATGCGAATGACTAGCTCGCAAACAGAAAATTCTGTCCCTCACCCCGAAAACTTACTTGTCGATGATACCTCCGCGGCGGCGGCAGCGGCAACGGGAGCTTCGTTGCTTTGATTTTCCATCGTTTTTCGTTTATAAGTTGTGTACTTAAACTGTTCTTTCTGCCTTTTTCTTTTTTTTAACAATTTATTTTTCTTTCACAAGTTTACACAAGTTACAGAGCAACGTCTACCTTCTCCGGCTGCTTCCAACAAACCACGTTTCTCACCCGATGAAATTTTACTATATCGATATTGCAATGTATCGACAATCTCTCTTCTTCACGATGCGCGAACGATTGCACTGTTTTCAGTATATTTTTACAATTATTTCTCGATGTTAGAAAACAAAAACGCGCAATCAGAAATTAATAAAAAAAAAAAGAGAAAATCAAAATTATAACCAGAACAATCAATCACTAACACGTATTGCAATGTTATGAAAAACTGGTGCAAATCCAATTCACCTTATGTTGACAAAAAAGTCAATGATGAAATGTTTGATGTGATTTAAAGTTATGTGAATCGACTTCAGTTTGTAAAGTAAACATATATTTTAAGTTTAATCATACTACCAATGAGATAAGAAATTTTCTGTTAAGAACGAAAATACATGTTTATATTAACGGGGTGCCAATATCTGGGTATGTAGGATAAATTTGAATGAAAATAGTGAGAACAAAAATACTGGATGGCGGTAAAATGTCGACGAACGTACTATATCGATAGATTTATATACAAAATACCCGATTTATTGGTGGTATTTTTTAATGCTGGTATTTTAGTACCGAAAAAAAGCAAACAAAACAAACGAAACCGCGAGTTATGAGCAGCGTACCGCGTACATTATGTCACAGCTGTTTTTTACACAACGTGGAGCGGTCGGTTGCTCGAATTGTATTTTTTTTTTTTAATTTCTTCAATTAAAAATCAGCCGGTGCTCGCTCGATGCACAACTCGAGGAATTATGCAATTTTCACTGGACTGCTCTGCGCAGCACGCTCAAGGCTCGCCAACGGATCTGCCATTGACAAACGTTCTTTTCAGCGAGTTGCAGTGCAGCTGTCGCGTAATAGAAAGCATGAGACGAATGTCTCGGCGCTTTTTAAGCCGGTTCAAGTGCAAGCCAATGTCGATGATGATGATGTCGGCTCCGAGCTGGTGGGAAAACTAGAGAAATCAGAATTGTTGAAGATTTTAAATAAATTTGCACAACGCCGCGAAATCAAAGCACTTTGCAGCGAAAATGGACTGGATTGTAAGTAGTAAACGATGTTCTTCAAATATTGATCTTTGATCCTAATGCACAGCCTGCCAGCTTATCTTCAGCAGCAGGCCTTCGGCTCATTTCGCCGCTATTGCATCGAGGCTGAAAATCTGCCAGTTGACGTCCATATCACTTTCAGTGATATAATGCAAGGCGCCGGCCATATAGACGACATCTTTCCCTATTTTTTGCGTCATGCCAAGACTATGTTTCCCCATCTTGACTGCATGGATGATTTGAAAAAGATATCAGACTTGCGGCAACCGGCCAATTGGTACCCAAATGCTCGAGCCATAACGCGCAAGATTGTGTTCCATGCCGGACCCACAAACTCTGGAAAAACGTATCATGCGATGGAAAGATATTTGAGTGCCAAGTCAGGTGTCTATTGTGGACCACTTAAGCTTCTCGCTACTGAGGTGTACAACAAGGCAAATGAACGTGGAACACCATGTGATCTTGTTACTGGCGAGGAACGCAAGTTTGGCATTAGCGATACCTCGCCAGCAAACCATGTGGCTTGCACCGTGGAAATGACCTCAGTCAATACACCTTGTAAGTGCAAGTGATCTGTGACTTATCACTTTTTAACTCCTTGTATATCACCAGATGAGGTGGCCGTCATTGATGAAATACAACAGATACGCGATCAGCAGCGTGGATGGGCATGGACACGCGCCTTTCTGGGTTTGATTGCCGACGAGGTGCACGTCTGCGGTGAAGCTGGCGCACTGGAGTTGCTTGAGAAGATATGTGAGACCACTGGCGAAACGGTCGAGGTGCGTCGATACGATCGCCTCACTGAACTAACGGTTGAAGATTCAGCTCTGGGTTCTTTGGACAATGTTATGCCTGGAGATTGTATTGTCTGTTTTAGCAAAAATGACATCTATACTGTTTCGCGAGAAATCGAAGCGCGGTAAACGAGCCGTAAATCTTAATCCGATGTATTTAATTAACTTTTGCACTTCATATCTTTTAGTGGCAAGGAAGTCGCTGTTATCTATGGAGGTTTACCACCTGGTACAAAATTAGCTCAAGCTGCCAAGTTCAATGATCCTTCGAACAGCTGTAAAGTAATGGTAGCCACCGATGCTATAGGCATGGGCTTAAATCTGTAAGGTTAACATTGCTTAAATATTTAAAAATATTTTATTAATGCCCTTTATTGCAGAAGCATTCGTCGCATTATTTTCTACTCGTTGGTTAAGCCCACAATGAATGAACGTGGCGAACGTGAGATCGATACGATTTCTGTGTCTTCTGCCCTTCAAATAGCCGGACGTGCTGGTCGGTACCGTACCCAATGGGAGCATGGCTATGTGACGGCCTTTAAATCGGAAGATCTGCAAACTCTCCAACGATTACTTAGCCAAACGCCAGAGCCTTTGAAACAAGCTGGCCTTCATCCCACCGCTGATCAAATAGAGCTGTACGCTTACCATTTACCAAATTCGTCGTTGAGTAATCTGATGGATATATTTGTGAATCTCTGTACTGTTGATGATTCCCTTTACTTCATGTGCAATATAGAAGATTTTAAGTTCCTGGCGGAGATGATAAATCACGTACCGCTTCCACTACGCGCACGTTATGTTTTCTGCTGTGCCCCCATCAATCGCAAGATGCCCTTTGTGTGTTCCATGTTCCTGAAGATAGCACGGCAATACAGCCGCAATGAGCCTATTACCTTTGATTTCATTAAAAGAAATTGCGGCTGGCCGTTTAAGCTGCCTAGAACTATATTGGATCTTGTACATTTGGAATCCGTGTTCGATGTCATGGACTTATATTTGTGGTTGAGGTGAGAGGTAGAAATTGATTTGTTTGATTCATCTCTTTTAAAATTACTATTTTCTTGTAGCTATCGTTTTATGGATCTGTTTCCTGAGGCAGCCCATGTGCGGGAGGCCCAAAAAGAACTGGATGAGATTATTCAGCAGGGCGTTTTCCAAATAACTCGACTGTTGAAGAACACTGAGGCAGGTGTAGAGAGCGATACCTCGCCTTCCCATATGCGGCGCATGACTCACATAAAGGAGCCACGAATTCCCAGCGCATCGCGTGGCCGTCTAACGGAAAGACTCCTTGCACAGGGTCTACTGACCCCTGGCATGCTCAGCGAGCTGCGTAAGGAGTGGGATGCACAACAGCTTGCACAGCCAAATGCAGTAGGCAGTTCTAAGGACCCGCAGGATAACGCCACAGACAGTGATGATGATGATAGTTATGCGGCAAATACAAAAAATACAAAAACTCGGCGAAAGCGCAAAAAGTAGTAGAAATAGTAGATGGATATATTTTTGTTTTAGGTAACATTGGTCGACATTAGATCGACGTGTCTGTTGTTTATGTTATAAATTTATTTTGTAAGTCACAATTATGTAATATTAAAATTATTATTTTAATAATCAACAATGACAATTTAATTGCTTTAAATTGAAAAATAGAAATTTGTAATCTATTCCAGGAAAATCCAATCACTTCATTCATTCTTTTTCTTGTTCTTTCCTTCTTTCTATGTTTTTAATGGAGGGAGTTACTACAAAGAGTCTGAAGTACTTTACAAATAAACTTCAATTTATTTGCATGACTTTCCACTGATGTATCATAATAATAATAGATTCAAGACATGCACACATAGAAGCTTATTTAATAAATATGTTTTTATAAAATGACTTGACAAGTTTTAAGTGTGTTTGTCCATTCCCCCAAACATTGTGTGTCCAAAATTAAATGTATATTTATATATGTGAATGTATACATATACATGTATAGATTAACTTTTTATATCGCAAAGTTTAGTAACAACGAACACATATTCAATTTGAATTTGTGATTATAAAATATTGGACATCAAAAACATACAGATTGTTAAAAAGATACAAATATATATATGTATGTATATATATGTGTATGTAATAAAATATTTAAACTAGTTTTAAGGTTTTAAGGTTTCATGTTCTTGTTTTTGTATTTTTGTTTGCATATGAGCAATTGTTGTACATAGTTTAATACTTGCTGTGACAATTAAAAAATCAATTTAGTACAGACATTTTTTAAAGCTTTCCATTTTCTTGCTATAGTTTAGATAGTTCCATTCCGCTTCAAACCCGCACAAACCCCTTTGCTATATATAAGTATATAGAATTTGTTAACAACATTAAATGTTGCTTTACATATACAATTATGAATGCTCCAAGCAACCCGCATATAAATATGATTAAGTGTTGCTGGCTTCAAATTTCCAAATTTCTTATCAATATCAACTTCTCTCTCTTTCTCTATCTCTATCTCTATCTCTCTGACTCTGGCTCTGTCTCTGTTTTAACTTCTGTTCGGTTATACAATACATTTTTGTTTGTGCGTATTTATTTAATTTGTATCCAAAGGTACGGAAATTTATTTATTCATATAAAAAACTGGAACAATGCGAATGAATTTTCTTGTTGCTTTTGTAATGTTTTATGCGTTGGCTACAATTGTGGTTTTTTGTTTTGTTTTCTTATTAATTTGCAGATTTTTAACCAGAACAGTCTGTAATTGGATAGGATTACGTTTTGATAGTTGTAAAAGTTCTGATTAATAATTTGTTAATATTTTGTTTTCGACACTTCCAGATGTTATGAGGCCCGTTTCTTGGCCCTTATCGTATAGCAAAATGTTCTGGTTGAACTGTTTAACAATGCTAAGTAAGGTATTTTATAATTTTTCCATTTTTTGTTGTATTTTGGTATTTTCTATTTATAATAATTTAATAAAAAAAAGTGCTAGTCGTGTTAGACCGTCAAAACCTTTGCGGTTAAATATTTGCGTTTGAGTTGCAGAGAAATAGTAATTCCAAAAAATTCACATGCGCTTGACATGTCGCTCCCAATGCTTCTTTGTTTTTCTTTTTATATCGTATTCATTATCACAAACAATTATAAAGTTTAAATTTTTCATTTGTTTTCTTTCCCTTATTTTCGTTATAGTAACAAGTTATGCTTATGCAGTTGCGTACAAAAATTTTAATATTCTAATTTTTTTTTTTTTTCTCACACTTTTTAATAAAAAATGTGTGCTTGCCAAATTTGATTTGTTTCCAAGTTTCAAATACTCTTTTGCTGCCCACCCGTGGGCTCATATCTGGTCTAGCCAGATCTTTCAAAAATTACAATATGTAGTCCTTGGGGGAACACAAAGTTATCGATCAGCGATCAATACCAATTGGTTCTCTACTTCTTTCCAAAAAAAAGCTCCAATCGAAAAGTCGAAGGTAACCTTCGAACTTTTCTACACAAAATCCAGCTCCAGGCCGGGCTCAATGTCGACTGCAACCGCATTGTCTGCAGGGAATTGAGCCTCGTCTGACTCCTTACGCGCTTTATCCTTGGACCGGTCCTTGAACGCAGCAAAGCTCAATTTCTTGAGCGCTCTGGTGCTGCGTCCCGTGGACTGGCCCAACTGCTCGAATCAGGAATCCACCAGCACATGCCAACGCGCCAATATCTCACCTTTTGGCATTTCACAAACATCGGCCCAATGCGCACACTCTTCCGGTCCAGATGAGTTTAGTCCGAGGCTAAACCAACCGACCATCTCATTCTTCTTCATATGCCTCTTGGCATACACCGAGATCATCAGCGTCACATCGTTCAGCTGAAACAACGCCACCTGGAACGCAAAGGTCTCCTTGAATAGCGGATTGGGTCCACGTCTTATGGACGTTTTGGCTCTCGAGATCTCCTGGCCAATGCTGCTGACCATGCACAGCTTCACATACGTATCCGGCGCCTTGTTCAGCGTCAGACTGCGAAACTGACTGCCCTTGATGATCTCGACACTGAGGCGACCCGTCACTCCGTTGTAGCTCAGACCCAACAGGAGCTCCGAGACACCGCCATGTTGCATGGAGGATGTGGAGCCGGCACTGTCCGATCGGGCCAGACTCAGCAGATCGCTAGTCGAGCCCAACAGTGACGTTGTGACTCGTGGCTCCAGCGGCAGCCACAGATTTGTCTCCAGCTCCAAGTCCACAGTGGCAAAGCTCACATAGGCCTCGCCAATGAGCCGCTCCTTGCGCAACCGCTCACATCCATAGAGACGCACACGCAGACCCATGTTATTGACGTCCTCTGGATTGACACGATGCAGCAAAAAGCTCTCCATATACTGCGGATTCTCGCCACTACGTATCTTGGTCTTGTGCTTCTGCTTCTTATTCGGCAGCATAAGCATACGCACCTGAATGGGGAAAAGAATATATATGATATTGTTTTATATAATAGACTTTCGGTGCTCACCTGTGTGTGCGTCTGCTGGCCATTGGGCAAAGGTGGCAGACTTCTCGCCTGCATCACATGCACCGTCATCTTTCTCATTGGCGCATCGTACAGCAGCGACATCTCCAGCTCAATGGGTCCACGAGGAGCTGTGAGCTTTGGATCGCTAACCAGCATATCGTCCGACTTGATCGAACGCAAGTCGCTGGTATCAAACAGAGGTTCCTGGTGGAAAGGAATAAAGAGAATGAATAATGAAATTATCTTAAGAGTTATAATGCTTTTACAAGACCTAATGTTAGACTAAGTAAGAGTTCGTATTATTTAAAAAAAAAAGTTTGAGTAAAGTTTAATTTAAGATAATTTATAGTAATCTTAGGAATATCAGAACATCCTACAAGCAAGTATCAAATTGCCTAAATAGTTAAAGGGCAGCTATCTGACCTGAATAGTTTTCCTATTTAATTCGAAAGTTCCTTCTTTTCATCCACCTAACAAAGCAACAAACACGCATGTCATGCTAAGCAACTATCATTAAAAATTAACACTTTACACATCCCCCAATTCATTCATTTCCCCCTGATATACTCATATACTTTCTTAACTAACTTAAACTATTATTCGTCATAAATTGTGTTAAAAAGGGTTTTTAAATCGATTTTCTACGCTAAGACCCTAAACTTATAATTTCTGAAAATTTTGGAAATGATTTAATATTTACATCATCGTTGTTGTTGTTGTTGTTGTTGCTGTTCGTAGCTGTGCTATTGATGGTGTTGCTGTTGTTGTTATTGTTTTGATTGTAGTTATGATTTGTTATGCTGCTATTGTTGTTGTTGTTGTTGTTTAAACTAGTAGTAATTGGCACCACAACCACGCTATCCCTATCCTTCTCGACCTTTTGTGGCAGCACGTCGACTTTATGTTGATATTTTTGTGACTTGGCATAGGAGTGTCTCAGCGCTGACACAGCCGGCACAGCTGCAAAGGTAACAAGTATTATACATTATATAGCCAATATCCTTGTTGATTAGCGTCACTTATTTTACCTCTGCTGTCGGCTGTCAAAATGCCCGTTTGACTGTCGACAGATGCCTCGATGGAATCATTGGAGCTGCACTCGCTATGGGATGACGGTATGCCGACCTTGCCCCGTTCAGCAATGGCCAAAGGGTCACGTGTCACTGTCACCCTCTGCAGGTCAGCCTGATGATAATTGAAACTGTGGCCCGTCAACGGATTCCGTTGATCAATGCCCATGCCATAGCCTACAAATTTGCCATTCGGCAATATATTATTGTTCTGCTGATGCCAGCGCAGGCGTCGCAGCATATCCTCCTCCGAATCGGAGCTGGTGTTCTCATAGCGACGTTTGCGTGCTAAGTGCGAATAATAATTTGTAAATCAAATACATATGAGCAGTGAGTCAGCGAGTCTACTTACTAATCTTCTGCACGCATTTGGCTGCCAAGTGTCGCTCGTCACAGCAGTTGATGCCATGGCGATGATGAAAGCAGCATCTGCGACTTATATATAAGAAGAGCAACAAAAGTAGCACCAAGACACCAAAGAAAGCACCCAATAAGGTTGTGACCTCAACAGTACCTGCAACAGATTTTTATTTATTTATATGTAATCATTAAAATTGAGTCAAGTGAATCAGGAGTGCCATAGACATAGGGAATGTTCGACTGGAAGATACCCTGAACCTCACTCAGCGCTGCTAATTCTTAGGTGTATGGTATGCGTTCATTCCGAAGGACAAACAGAGATCACTGGATCAATTCATTTTGTCGTCTTGAACTAGAATATATATATTTTATAGGGGCAGTCACGCCTGCTTCCCCGAATAAAACAAACTCATAATATATAAAACCAATATTTTAGTTAGAATTAATAATGTGCTGAGAATTCATTGTAGAGTATCCTTATTCGCAGAGATCTATTTGTGGTTTTTTAATCGACTAGAAACATAAATGAATAATATTCATTAGTAATTAATATCATATTAATTAATATGCATTCCCTTTATACATATGAAACTATTGCTAATAGGTATTAAATGAAAGACAAAGGGCAGCCCTACCATTGACCACCGTTAAAATACAATCAACGGGAAACCCCATATTTGAGTCAAACAAATATTTACTATACCTCCAAGTCTTTAGGTTTAACTTTGTTGTCCACTGGATAGTCATTAATCAAATGAAAACATTAATCTTGTTAAATGTTTTATGAAAGCTTTTCAAGCCAAGTTCAACGAACACATATTCGAAATTTTCCACAACTAATTGTAAGACAACAAACCGTTCAACCTATCCCATCATACCCCACTCAGTTGGTCATTCAGTAAACAAATGAAACTTGACATTGACAAAACGTACCCAATGTAACAGTGCTATCCACACCAGATGTAACAATCATGTTGGTTGTTCATGCGTAGAATTGTGTTTTGGTTTGTTTTAATGTATTTTAAATATTGCTTTAGTCGGAAATTATATGCTTATGTTTCAATTTCGTTTTTATTACTATTGAACTAAATTACAAAAGCTCCACATATGACAGCACGCAGTGAAGCACGGTAAAAATTCAATCGATTTTTCACAGGATAATGAATTTTTTGTTGACCGAGAATCCGAATTGCGATGGAGTCCAACCAATTATATTCTAATAATATATACTAAGAATATTAATACACTTTTCAAAGCCTTTATTTATTTAATACAATCTAATTACACAGTAAAAAATTAAATTTTTTTGAAAAATTGAAATCAATTTTTTTGTTAAATTTTTGTATTTAAAATATTCAACATTTTGTGGCACGTGCGGCACTGCCTGTAGCTAGTTTATTAATAATTATGCACTGACTGTTCGAGCACTTGAAATATTTTTTACTTGAAGAGCAGCAAATAAAAGTGAAAGGATTTGAAAGCTTTCCCCCACATCCTGTGTGTGTACAAGTAACAGTGAAAGCTGCAGCTTGACAAATGTCATGCCAAAACAACTGTTGCTTTGTTACGAATCAGATGTGATGTGTAAATGAGCAATTTATGTATGCATTTCATTTTTAAAATACATTTATTAATATTACATAATAACAATAAAATATAAATTATTTTCTTAATTTTATAAATTTGAATTTGAGCGAAGTTTTCGTTTTTATTTATCGATATCAATACAGCAGGAGCTATCGATAGATGGGGACCATCTCTAAATCGATAGGATAACGTGTGTGTTACACTTCGTGTGAGTCCAACTAAAACGCGATTTAAACCATGAAAAAATGGCAAAGAATAAATCAACTGTGTATTTAGGCTATGAAGATGAGGAAATTACAGGCAAGCAAGCTGCCTTCCTCAATAGCTGTACAAATAAAATAGGTGGCACTCCAGTAAGTACATGAGATGGTTGATTTTTCAAGTCCTGTGACAGGACTCATCCCAAGTATTTTAACGACAGTCAATGTTCTATGTAATTAGCGATGTATCTGTGTTATGACACACAAAACATACATACACCTAATACCATAGAGCACTTGACTTCATTAGTCGAATGGGAGGAGTTGTCGTGAGGCAAGTCCTTGTGCACTGTAACAGCTAAGTAAAAATCTATATACACACATACTTTCAAACACACAATCAATCAATTGCTTAGAGATAGTATATACATAATTAAAATTGATTTTTTCCAATAGAATTGGCCGAGACATGAAGTGACTGTGCCCGTGTGTCCGCTTTGCGGCATGGTGCGTCCCTTGATCGTCCAAATGTATGCGCCTCTGGATCGCTCGCAGTTTCATCGCAATCTGTATGTGTTTGCTTGTGTGAGCCCGGCCTGCTCGCAAAATCAGAAGAGTTGGGTGTGCGTGCGCACCCAGCATCTCGATAATCAGTTTGATGTCATAACCGAGCAATCGCCCAAGTTGGTCAACAAGCAAAACAAGAAGAAAAACAAGTCAAGTGCCTTGCCCAAGGTGAATTGGTGTAGCGGCGCCGATGACTGGGGCTGGGGCGAGCCAGAAATCGTGGATGAGGCCATGGATCAGACGGCCGATGACGAGCAGAACGAACGAAATGGCAATGTGAGGCCAATTGGTTTGCAATATGAGAAGCCCGACGAGGACTACGAGATCTCAGGAACAGTGGCGCACGACGTCGCAACGAAGCTGGGCGATGATGACGATGACGATGAAAGTACCTCGGCTGAGAATGATTTGGTCTGTGGCTTTGGGCAAATCGATATGAATTCGCCCGAGAAAGCTGGTGAGGATCCGAATGCCAATTGCGCGGCTGCAGTATTGCCAACGGCAAGTGCGGATGGAGCTGGGGCGGGCGGAGGTGCTACGGCCATGATATGCGCTGAAATCGAGGGTCCAGAAACGGATGTTGTGCTCGTCGATACACCCAAGAAACCGGAGCGGGATCTGATTGCATTGCTAAAGCACACCTCGTTGCCGGCCACGCTGGGCCCGTTGTCCCAGATCAAGGACCTAACCCTCAAGTCAATTTACATTGCCGTGGATGTTGAGACAAACGCAAAGCAAGAGGAGTACGATAACTATGGTGGCTCGCTTGCAATGGATCACATTCGCGATTTATATCAAGAGTACAAGCTGCAGGATGAGAATCCAGCGCGTTCGCCAGTCGCCGGTGGCAGCGAGGCGTGTGATGAGCAGGAGGCGTACGAGAAAGCGCTGCCCGCCCATGGGGATGTGGTGTTCCACAATTTTATCACAACCATACAGAAAAATCCAGGACAGTTGTTGAGGTATTTATGAAATATTTCAATTAAATTTGTAATGTTATTTAATCAAATTTCTTGCAGATATTCGCGTGATGCTCATCCGTTGCTAGCGGCACCGTTGAACGAGCCGCTGCCAAAGTGTCAAAACTGCAAAGGCGAAACCATATGCGAGGTGCAGTTGTTGCCAACGTTGATCCCAAAGCTGAGATTCCAGCAGAACTCCTGCAACGCACCAATCGAATATGGCAATGTGTTAGTTTTTACTTGCTTGAAGAGCTGCTGGGATACGCCCGATCAGATGCGGTACGAGCACGTCGTGGTTCAGTCCGAAACATAGATCAACAACTCCAGTTGAAGAAAAGATCAATTTATTTCAATTGCTAATTGCATTAGCTTAGAGAATGAAAAGCTAAGCTTTTTCACTTATCCTAGGATGATTTTATGCTCTAGTTGTTAAGAACGTTGTACGCTTTTAGAGAGCAAATGCCGAATAATCGCATAGTTGCTAACGACTCGTTATTTCCACTCACACTAAAAACTTTTAATTAGAGAAACGCTATGCAATTTGTTTTATTTACACAAAATCAAAGTTATGAAAGCGGCGCATCGGCATCCAGATGATAGCTCTTCACGGCGGAGAACCATAACGGTGGATACTTGGCGGCTGTTAAGTCGAATTCAGAGCTTTGCTCCACCTTGTTCCTTTGCTGCACCAAGGTATAGTTGGACCAGACCAGTTGGGCAAACCGTCGCTTGGGCGAGTTCATGATGCGCAGCTCAATTACATATTGCGTGTTAGAGCCGTCGTCGTCCCCGGGCATCACACTACTACGACGATGCCGCTGAGTCGTGGTCCTGCCGAGCTGTTGTGTCTTCTGCAGTATCAGCGTCACGGTGCTGCCAAAGAGCCGATAGCGGCCGCGCAGCACATCGGGGCGTACATGATAGAGCTGCTTTAGCTTGTTTACACCCTGCGCTGGCTCATCCGCACTTGTCATCATGAGCACCTTTCCATCGGGCAGAAAACGGATATAGCGATAGTATTCGACTAGCTGCAACGGCCTGTAGAACTGATCCTGAAAGCTGTTCTCGCCCATGCGCAAGTAGGTGGTTTTGCTAATGTAGCAACCATTGAATAGGACACGCTCACGCCTTATAAACATATCCCGCCAGGACTCGTAGCATGCTCCACCGTCCTTGGCATCCAAGGTGCCCACATTGTGGCCCCACACTCTGTCAGATTGAAAGATTACGTCAGCTCATGCTACAAATAGACATATGACATTCCGTTACTCACTTGACGCAGGCCAAACGCCAAAGCTCCTCGTCTCTTCCATACACATAGAAACCTTTGCATACAGCCGAAAACTGTTCCAAGGAACGCATATCCAGCTGCGAGGACACCACCCAACGTAAAATATTCATTATGATCTCAGGCGGCAGATCGGAAATGTGCATTCTATTGCCCGTTGTTAAAACACTTGAATCACGGCTGTTTAGGACGATTTTGCCTCCGTAGATTTCTTCACAGCAAAGGTCACGCAGGAACTTCTCGTACAAGCCATCAATCGGCTCCACATCTTTAGCCTCTGCATCGGCCAAATCTAGTTGCTTAGCAAAATCCCCGGGTAGGTTATGATATTTTTTGTTGGCATCAACCATCAATTTTTGCTGCTCGTAAAACTTAAACTCAATATCAGGTACCATTTGGGTGGCTTTGCGGTAGTAGGCTAGAGCATCGTACACTTTGCCTCGCTGTTCCAACTCCACGGCTGTGCGATAGAGCGTCTCAGCCCTGGCTTGTGCCTCAATGTCACGAATGCCGGGTGGCTGTTCGTTAGCCTGCGAGGATTCGGTTTGTCCATGGCCATGAAGCTCGCGTTGCCAGTTCACACGGAATTCATCGAGCTCACGGCTTTGGTAACCGAAAGAATCCTCCGGCTCGGACATTTCCGACATTGAGTTGTCTGTGGTGAAATGCATTTATTAGTAATGGTGTCATATCTTATCTAATGCAAATTCTAACCTGTAATTACTTTGTTTTTTTTTTTTTTTGTCTAGTAAAGTGTTCGCTCTAGCTCTATATCCAGTTCCATGTAAAAATCAAAAGCGGTAGACACTATTATGAACGGTCGTGCGTATTGTTGATAGCGGCCGCACGCTTGTTTACCCATGGATTTTAAAGTGGCTTTCCGCTGCATGGACAATTTATCAGGCAGTCGAATTGTTTGGCACAGAAGCCCCACTAGGTGAATATTTTTAGTAAATATTTTGCTGCGCAATGTTTTTCTTTTAAAACTATCGATTACTCTTCTACGATAGGTACATCAACGCGGTATCCACATGTAATGCATACGTACACTTGATCGTACAATATGGTACCATTTATAGAATTTAATACTAAGAGATATTAAAACTTTAGATAATGAAAGGGCAATTTAAAAATTGTATATCACAAACTTATGTAGTACATATATATAAAAAGTCTACTCTACTATTTATAGTTTCATATTCATATACCAAATTATATATTATGTGGTACAATTTTTTAATTGCTTTTGAGCACTGAAATATCGAGCTATCGATATACTGTGCGGCAGCTCGTGCTCATGTGGCCGGTCAGTTTGTTTATACTTTGATGGTTCGTTTTTAATGAAACCTGAATGAGTTTGTTGAACTGAATTAATATGTCTGCCGACTACGCGCACCTGTGCTCATCTCTACTAGAGCAATGCTTTGGCAAAGTGGTGCAGGCCGTGGCGGATTGCCTCTTCTCAGCCACCACGCGCACATTGTCGCAAATTGTGAGCAGCACGAATTTCGCTCGAAAGGAAGTGGTGCTCGCTCTGTCGGTACTAATCAAATTTCGTCTGGTTAGCTTTGAACCATCCAAGAACAATCCCTTTCTGGCCGAGTATGCGCTGAGGCGGGAAGATGTGATATGCCTGCTTCGATATTCCCGGTCAGTTAGTTATATGAATGATTCCAGATAAAGTATATATAATTACCCATTCTTAATCTTTTAGCTACATACATCTAGTACAAACCAAGTACGGAAATGTTGGTGCTTCAATAGCGGAGGAACTGCTTAACGCGGGTTCGGAAACGGCCACTGCCTTGCTGCTCAAATGTTTGGCTGATGGTGAAAACAAGGCAGAGAGTGCCGAAACTTATAGAGATACGTTTTTGAAGATGATATCCGATCATTTCATTATTAAATTACCCGAACTGGTGCCAGGCGATGAGCAGGATGAGGCGGTGCCCAAGTTCCAGAGAAATGAATGCGATTACTTTATGCTGCCAAACATAGATCTAAAGATATTGGCGCAGATACAAAAAGGCGAGGCGACTCTGTCCAAGGCTTTGGATACAGCATGCGTGTGGAGCCTTAACTATGATCGATTCCATCAAGAGTTCCGGGATGATATCATGAAACTTGCCATTGAGCGAAAATTGGGTGAAAATGCAGCCGAATGCTTTAGTTTTATTCTGAACCTCGTATATAATACCACCGATCCATGGCAAAGAGTAAGTTTTGACTGCATCCAAGTATTCTTAATGAGAATCCCTTATCATTTACAGAAAGCCTCAAATTTAATCACATTTGTGGAGATAAAGCAAGAAATTGAGCGTAAATCAAACAATCTGGAGTTGATTAAGTATTTGGATCAATATATTTGTTTGATAGGTAAAGAAATCTTAAATATCTTTGAATATTTCACCAAACCTAAATTTCTTTCAGTGGATGATTCACTTGGTTTCTTGCGCAAAGTGGGTGATACGGGCGGCGGTCAGTATCAGGTGGACATGGAAAAGACATTCGAGTCGCTGGCCTTCGCCTGTGTGGAGGCTGTCATAACCGAGCGCTTCGGGTCGAAGGCGGCGCGTATATTTCGGGTGATACGTTTCAAGAAATTCATAGAACAGGAGGATCTGCAAAAGGAGGCTATGATACCAGCAAAGGAGGCCAAGTCGCTCGCCTACAATCTGTTCCAGGAGCAATTTATACACGTTAAAGTTATCAAGAAGCCCGGCGGTGGAGGAAGTGGCCCTGCTAAGGCTTTCTATCTATTCCAAATCAAAGAGAAAGATGTAGGCAAATACTATGCGTTAAAATTGGCCATATATTATCTCTATTCGTTGTAGACTGTGCGTATGCTGCTGGACAATTGTTTCAAGTCTTTGTATAATACAATAAGACGTTCGAACTATGAGAAGCATGAGCACAAAGGCTTGATTGAGAAATCGCAAAGGCTGGACAGCATTGTGGAGGCGATGAAGGAGCGTGGCGAATCAGACGAATATATTGCAGAGGTATAAGCGCGGCTATGCTTTAAATTTTAAGTGCATATATTTAATTGTACTTTATTTACTATAGATTGTGGAAACGTTTACACCGCCTGAATGTGAAATTCTAAACAAAGTCAAAAATCGCATAAAGACCTTGTCCAAGGCCGAACTGACCGTGGACGATACGATCTTTCTATTGCAAATGTATCAACACCACTGTACGACTTTGCCAACTGGCATTCAAAAGTTTAAATAAAATTAAAAATTTTAAACGTATATACTTTCAAATCTTGTCCCAATCTTTAGAAACGGCAAATTTAGTTTGGACATCTACCTCAATAAGTATCGTACTGGGTTGATACCAAAATTTTCACCTATTTATTACGATGCGATAAAGATTTAGATAGCACAAATGTCTCCACTTTGTATCGTAAGTCCTTTTGTACTAGTTTAGCATGGACTTCAACCTTTACGTGTATTTAATACTTTGTAATTTCATACCTGTATTTATATTCCTTACGATATTTACTTGATTTTGTTTTCTTTTGTGCATGCCTTTTAGCTTTTGTTTGTGTACATAACAATCAACTTAACTTAAATTTAACTTAACTTAACGTCAAATTTAGTTTGGACATCTACCTCAATAACTATCGTACTGGATTGATACCAAACTTTTCATCTATTTATTACGATACGATAAAGATTTAGATAGCACAAATGTCTCCACTTTGTATCGTAAGTACTTTTGTACTAGTTTAGCATGGACTTCAACCCTTACGTGTATTTAATACTGGTTAATTTCATACCTGTATTTATATTCCTTACGATATTTACTTGATTTTATTTCCTTTTGTGCATGCCTTTTAATTTTTGTTTGTGTATATAACAATCAACTTAGCTGAACGAAAATCTATCGATCTGGCAGCGTTTGCTAAATTTAAATCTAAATTTGAAAATTGGTCAAAGAAATATGTATATGTTTTTATATTTATAGTTTGTTATTATTAAAATTTTTATTTATTCATTTTCATAGCACAAATGTCTCCACTTTGTATCGTAAGTCCTTTAGTACTAGTTTAGCATGGGCTTCAACCTTTGCGTGTATTTAATACTTGGTAATTTCATATCTGTATTTATATTCCTTACGATATTTACTTGATTTTGTTTTCTTTTGTGCATGCCTTTTAGCTTTTGTTTGTGTATATTACAATCAACTTAATTTAAATTTAACTTAACTTAACGTCAAATTTAGTTTGGACATCTACCTCAATAACTATCGTACTGGGTTGATACCAAAATTTGCACCTATTTATTACGATACGATAAAGATTTAGATAGCACAAATATCTCCACTTTGTATCGTAAGTACTTTTGTACTAGTTTAGCATGGACTTCAACCTTTGCGTGTATTTAGTACTGGGTAATTTCATACCTGTATTTATATTCTTTACGATATTTACTTGATTTTGTTTTCTTTTGTGCATGCCTTTTAGCTTTTGTTTGTGTACATAACAATCAACTTAACTGAACGAAAATCTATCGATCTGGCAGCCTTTGCTAAATTTAAATTTAAATTTGAAAATTTGTCAAAGAAATATGTATATGTTTTTATATTTATTGTTTGTTATTATTAACATTTTTATTTATTCATTTCATTTATTTTTAAGATATATATTGCACCAAATAAGTTTTGTTATGAATACTGTTTTTTTGTTTGTTTTTTTTGTATATTATAATTTTATATATATGTGTACATCTATATATATTTTATTTTTTATTTTTTATATTTTATTATTATACATAATTTTTTAATAATCCGTAAATACTAAGCAAATTTGTCAATATCTGAAATTGAACAATTGTAACTTTTAACATATTTATTTATTTAGCCTGTGTCTCCTGTTTACGACCTTTTGATTTACTATATTTTTACATATGAACTCTGACCTGAGCCCAGTTTTGACATGGGCCGCATGCATATGCTGCTTGTGGCCCGCCTGCTCAGCACAAATTGCCGAGTGGAAGCCAAGAATGGCAATAAAAGCGTAAATTAATTAACAGTATCGTATTTCCATATGCTTCACAGCAAGCAAACGAGCCAGCGGGGGAGGGGGCCAACGTGGAGCGAGTTAGGCAATGCCCAAACAGCTAGCCACACGGCGTGGCACACGCCCACCGAAGTCCACGCCCATTCGCACACCCCACGTTTATTTGCATAAGTAGCTCGGCTTTGGCTGGCGCAGGCAAAAAGTCGCCCAAGCAGCCAGGCGAGTGAGTTGTAGCCGGGCTAACACACACATATGTATTTGTTTTTATTTTGTTTCTGTCTTGTTTTGTCCTTACATATGTGTGCGGATGAAAAGAAATTTGTTGGGCAGAACAAATTCCACTGGTTGAATGATGTGCTTCATAATAAAATCAGCTAACCAGATCCTTAAGTAAACCGAGCAAAGCCTATCGCTTGCCTGCTCGGTCCGCACGGTGTGCTCGGTGTGCTCGATGTGCTCGGTCTGCCGCAGCATAATTATTTGCTTTCAGACAGTTTTATCTGGCGGGCACAAGTCAAAGCATATGTCATATTTAACGCACTCTGACTGGTGAAGCTAGGACCAGGGCAGACGGACAGACAGTGAGACAGGTGGGCACAGATTGATGCTCGATTCCGAGAAGCATTATTAACAAAGTTTGCAGCCAGACATTGGTAGCAAGCCACTGTGGTTGCGTTTTATGTTAATCACGGCGCACGTCCAATGGTTTGGGCGAAATTCAGCATTTGACAAATTGCCCACAAAGAACGAGAGCTTGAGCAGGAGAATCTTTCTCTCTCTATATATATATGTGCGTGTGTGTGTGTGGGGAGGTGGTGTGTATGTGATTTATGTGGATGTGAGCGCATGACTTTGGGGTTTGATGTTAACCTTCGGCGATAAAGGCAGAGGTAATTAGACGATGCCATTGCAGTGCGCTGCTTTTCCTTTCTCTAGAAGCCAGATATGTGATTTTTAGCACGTACAAGCCGTGTTGCAACCTAATTAAAATTTACAAAATAAAAGAAGCTGAAGAAGAAAAAATTAAATGAAAAAATAAAAAAAAAAAAAAAATTAAAATGGAGTCCAAGTCCTTGACACGAAATGCCAAGCCCGGCTCGCTAGCAGCTACTCATCTAATGCGTCACACAAAGTCAAATTCGTGGCAGCCCAAAGCCAAATGCCACTCAAACCATTCAGCCACGAACTCTGGAGCGACGGAGGGTGAGGCCGAGCGGCAGAAGCGAGGGTGGTAGCGTGAGCGAGCGATGTATAGGGGGCAACCAGCCGAATGCTGCATGGCGGCAACATACAGCATACAGCGTACATTCTATGGGGTAGCTGCTATGCCATGCCCATGCCCATGCCCATGCCACGCGATGCGATGTGATGCCATGCCATGCCATGACTAACATCTCCGTTGTTGTTCTTATGTGCGGGCTGCATTAATAGGGCTCTTTCATCGCGACGAACGCCTGCATATGCAGCGCGCACACAGTTTCCATTCGGAAGGTGTTTTGTCGGTGTAAAGTGCCCACTTTTTCCCTCAACTAAAAGACGTTAATTGCATTTGGGCTGGACGTCAAAGTCAGCTGGCAGCTGGCTGCTGGCAGCGGGTAGTGGGTAGCGGGTAGCGGGTAGCTGGGAGGTTGCCCTGTGACAGAGCAAAATACGTCTCGTATTCTGTGGCTATAATTTTATTGCAAAATAACTTACATACAAGAGCCGGACGTAAAAGAGAAATTATTACAAATATTTTCAATTGGACGTCCATGAAGCGAAAATGTGAATCGAAGATTTCATTTGGCAATTTCAATTTGAATTTCAACTCTAGTTTATGGCCGTATAACTGAGCTATTATTATATACATATATTAAATTGGTCGATTGTCTAATTAGCACACTCTAATTGGACGAAGCTTTGCAAAAGGAGTAAAAGAATATGAACTTCATTTTGTTCTATATATAAAATTGTGTGAATAGGTTTTTTTTTTTTGATTTTGTAGAAAATAGTATGGTTTTAAATTCTTCAAAAATTTTCAGGTCTCTTAAATTTAGAAGTTTGGAGTTTTTAAAGTCTAACCATAGATTAATTTTCTTTTTTTAGTTCATACCTTCATATCTCATCTTAATAGTAGAGTTAGTCTACTGGACATATTATTTTATACATATATACATATAGCTAAAAAGTTAATTTTTATCAATTGTATTTTAATTAACTATTTATTTATTTATATAATTTGTAAAAAATTTGAGTTCATTAGAAAATCATGTTATTTTCTATTTTGCTATGTCCAAAAGCGCATTTCATTGTAACTCTGTCTTTATAACAAGCTGTTACCCAACTGCAACTTGATTATCAAAGTTGTAAAGCTTTGAAAGATAGAGTTTTTACTTGCTTTTCACATGCCCAAACTTAAATACGTTCCTTGCATGCAATTCTACACAAAAAGCGAACATCTTTTCATTTTGCAACGAAACCAACGAACCATTTTATTTGATTTGACTTTTGTGCAAAAATGCATCACTATTACTTTCATGAACACAAAATGCATTTGATACCTTCTGAAAAGGCTACAAATATCATAATTATCAAATGTAAAATTGTCATATATTCTACACAAAATGTGGACATTCATTTAATTTCTCAATTTCATTTGGTTCTGTTTACAATTATCATGAGCAAGATATATAAAATTTATTGTCTATCTGGTGAAGAGGTTAACAATAACTCAATTATCAAGTATAAAATTGTCACGATGTCACACGACTGCAGTAGGCCGAGCCTATAATTGATATTGATAGAAATTGATATTTTTGCTCTGCTCGTGCTATAAGCGAACATATATTCCAAACTAGAACTGTCTGTAAATGAAAGCGTTTACTTTGCTCAAAACATAGTTGTACTTGATTTGTGGAAAAAAGTCAAAAGTCTTCTGAATTTATAAAACTGATGGCATGAGCGAGTATAAAAACCATGTTTAAAGTTTCAAAGTTCAAAGGGAAATAAATCACTTTGTGTTTATATTTACGGACCTGCAGACGGACACGTGGTTAGCTAACATAATAGTTAATATTCGCATTTCACTTTGTGAACAAAGTGGAGAAAGCCGTTTATAAAAGGAAGCAAAACTTGAGAGCAAAAATCGTAAAAATAAGCATCTACTTGAATTGAGAGGTCTCTGGCTGTCTCTAGCAGTCAAAGGCCGTCTGCCTTCTAGCATCTGGAGCAACTGAAAAAGGACAGGACAGTCTTAAATAATTGTTCAATTAAAAGAAAATTGAGAATCAAGTTGAGAAACGAGACTCAGTCTAAAGTGAAACAACAGAATTTAAGCTAAAATTTCTATACATATTTTTAAAGTAGTTAAAAAACAAGTAAAAGTGTTGCCCTGGGGCGTTATCGACTGCAGAATACCTTTTGACATTGTGCAGAACCAATATACTCGTTTCACATTTGTGAATGAGTAGCAAAATTAATTATAATATATAATATAACAAAACTTAGATATTTATACATGAATAATTGCTCATTTTTTATCAACTACATTTTTTTACTTAGGGGGAAAAATTATAGAATTTCAATTAAAATTTCAGCGCATATTTATAAACAATTAACATAATTACATAGAATATATTTGCTTAATCACACTTGCAATTAGGTCAGAATATCCGTTGTTCAGGTTCGATGGTTTCAATGGCTGCGCCACTTAGACAACTCATCTGTCAAGGACTCCCCTGTGCCTAGGTACATACACATATACGCAGTTTTTTATGTGATTTATACGAGCAGAGAATAAGCCGCATTAGAACAGTGAGGCTTGGCTGGGTTGAAGCTGAAATGAAAATAATAATATATCTTAATAAGTGCTCTTATAGGATGCACACTCGATGTCCATATTTACATACATACACACACACACACACACACACACACACACACACATGCATACACTTGTGTATATGTATTAATACCATTCAATCTATCAAGTACAAATTGGTTTTTGAGTTCACGTAGCTTTTTGGATAGCTGAACCGAGGCATCGTTGTCGTACCCATTGCCGCCGTTTGTCTGATGCTCTCTCTGATACTCGACGCGCATTGTAGTAGTTAGGTGGTTGCCCACTCCCACGATTACAATCAATATAAATCACATTTACCCAAAGCGAAAATGTTTTCTACTTCAGTGGAGAAGCCAAAAAATTCATACGCAACAGGGGAATTTGATGCCTTTTATTATTTTGTTTTTTGTTCACCCTCTCTCTCTCTCTCTCTGCTACTCTCTGTTATTTTTACATACATATCCGTATGTATTTACTACAACCTATAACTGCAGATAGACGCGAGTGAGCGAGCAAGTGCTGCCAGTGCTGTGGCACTGGCTGTGGCTGCCACCACCTACACAGCTGGCGACTTCTGCCTCCTATTGAGCACGTCTATTTTTTTCCATTTGGCCAAAAAAAGAAACAGAAAAAAAAAAAAATTGAAAATAGAATGAAAAGGGCAACCAGGCAGGCGAATATGCAACAAATTCTCATTCAAAACACGCACGCAAATTTCTCCAATTCGCATACATGGTTGGCAAAAGGCGAAACTGAGACCGTGGCCGTGGTAGGGGCGTGGCAACGGTCACGGGCCGGCGGGGGAAAACCGAACTGAAACCGAAACCTAAGTGTAATAGAATGAGGATAGAAAATGTACAACAAAGGATGGCATAATAATAAAAAATTTAAGATGTGTAAAAAACATAAAAAGAAAATTCATTTGCGCCAAATTTGTGGATTTCACCTTAATCTTTGTGTGTGCCCCAACCCCCAACTCCCAATCCCCAATCCTGCCACACAGACACACACTCACAATGTATTCCCCCCCTAGGGCAGCCCGTCGTCATCGTCAACAAACAATGTATGCGAAAATCGATGTAGTACTGAAATGAGTGGATTCTATGCTAACCGGGCAAGGGTTTAGCCCCTAGTCGTTCCATTTTATAGGTCTGCGGTGAAAGCGCCACGTTTAAAACTCGTATTTGGAGACTACGATGCCTATGTCTCTATGAGTAGGTGGCTGGGCGGAGCTCAGAGCCATAAGAGCTATTTAAGATGACTTGCTGCTGTCCTGAGTTTCACAATCGCTTACGTGCCTCATCTACAAGCGTGTGCGCGCGTGTGTGTGTGACTGTGTGTGTGTGTGTGTGTGTGCCTATTAAATCATGTATGCGCCGTAATAAGGAAGCCACATCTTGTATAATGCATACACTGAATCTTAAATTCACATTCACACTAGAGCGACTAGAGAGACGCTGACCAAATTAATGCCGCTCCGTCCGATCCGGCACGGCACGGTCCCCCACTATGTCACTTACTTACGTACTTGCGCCATCCAACTTTCAATTGAATTAATTGAAATTCCTCCGTCAACTAAGGCAAATACAAGTGAATGCATGTGAATACATATGTACATGTGAATCCAGCTGTCAGAAGTGTAGTTCGTTTTTCGGCACACACACACAGACACATAGAGAGAGAGAGAGGGACATCAATAGATATATACAATTATGTAAATTAGTCAGTTATTATACATATGCACATATATACTATTCAAATCAAGCCTATTCACAATAAATCGGATGGCTTACTTTAATATTTTGAAATATATATATTTTTGAGGATATGTAGAATCCAGAGTCGAGTGAAATACCTAGTTTAGTATGAAATATTTGCTTAAGCCTTATTATAATGAAACTTTGTAATTCTCAAAAAGGTTTAAAAGTCTTTTTTTTTTTTTTTTTAATTATTAACATGTTTTAATGGAATGTCTTTCCATTTTTATACTTCATTTATAAAGAAATTTTAAATAAGAAAATTTGTGTTTCTATTCTAACTAATCCTTTTTCTATCAAATGTTAAATATAAATATTTTCATCATTTATTTAATTTTTATAATTTTTTGTACGATATAGTTTAAATATATAGCTTAATAGCTATATATTTAAAATATCTACACTCAAATATGAAATATTTGTTTGTAATATATATATTTATATTTTTAAATATATATATATATATATGAAATATTTTTATGTATTAATTTTATATTTATTATTCATAGTTGAATAATGTAATTTAAACTTTCTTAAATTTATATTGATTTTAGTATTATATATATATATATATATATATATATATATATATATTTTTTTTTTTTTTTTCTTATAATTTTGTTTTATATCAACTGTAAATTATTCCTTGCCTTCTTTTTATGTTTTTATTTTTTTTTTAATTTTCGTTTTCTCATATTCAATTTCAGTTTCTTAACTCAATTGATTTTATTACATTATTTGGTAGTTTCATTGAAAGTTTCTATATTTTTGTATTTAAGTGACCCATAGTGTGATATATTCATAAATTTTCGGGTGTTTCCGATTGACCCTCATGCTGCCCTGTGCCAAAGTGCATCCAATTCAATAGAATGCACACGCCCAGCAGCGGTTTAGCAATTGACCAAATGCCTCAAGCAATATTGCTTATGAATTATACATATGTACAAAAGAATATATACATATGTATATGTGTGCATAGGGGATTTCGCACTTGGGCTCGGTCTAATCTATTATATGGAAGGCAATCTGATTCTAAATCTGTATATAGTATGTTTGTCACAATCTCTGCACGTCTGTCTGTGTCTCTGTGTGTGTGAGTGTGTGTGAAAAGCCGGCAATGATGGCGATTTAAGATTGAAAAAATAAACTGTAACAAGCTGCATTGAGATAAAATAATCTCATATGAAAAGAGGGGGCTGCTATTTCGACTACATCTATAAATGCGGGACATTTGCCGGGCTTAGTTAATAATCAACTGTGGCTGCCTGTGCTGGGCGGGTCGTTCGTTCTTCCTACTGTTGCGGAATTGAAGTTGATGTACTACATCATCAGATACATTTGTGTATGTATGTATATGAGGGCGGCGTGTCGGACGCACACACACACACACTACACACGCGCACGCACGCACACAGAGAAGATCGCGGCTCGGTAATAAATTGATGGTTATTTTCAAAAATCCAATGACTGTCCGAGCGATCGCTGCACAAATCAGTTGAAGAATCGCACTCGAGCGACAATGTTCTCTCGGTCGCGCGTTACAAGACTCACAGCCGATTTCGAGCATGGATCGTGCCCAGCCAGAGTACATTAAATATATTACATTGAAAGCAAATATTAAACTGTGCTTCACATCATTTGCGCTGGCACATGCAATATAAGTATACATATATATATAGCTGTATATAATGTATATATATATATACACACACATGACAGACAGAGGCACGAGCAGTTGTTGCTCCTACGACTGGTCAATTCTCCGTGCGGGGTTAAGACCCCGCAAAAGGCGCGATAATCACAATCGGCAGCGATGTCGATGTCGCTTTGTCGCCGACTTAACTTGGAAGAAAAGCTGTGCTGAGACCCCCGTGCAGTTGTTAAACGGCAGCGGCGCTCAGCAGCGGGTGGCTTCGCTCAGCTCTGCTCAGCTCTCAGTGTGTTTGTAAAGATTTGGAAAGATTTGCCTGCACTGCAGTGGGACACTCAAAGGAAAAGTTCTGCACAACGGTATTGTGTAATGTGAAGTGAAAAGCAACCAGAAAATGGCCTCAACTGAGCATAAAACTAACTGGCTATATGGGTTTGTGTGTGTGTGTGTGTGTTGAGAGTTTACTCATATACATCTAATTAAATATAAATGAATGCGAAAAATTAACATTTACCTAATCAGAATAGAAAATTGAGCCTAAGTAGAAAATTTTGTTAGATAGCAAATTAAATATAAGTGATTAATTTGCATGATTAACACGGCGTATACCCTGGAATTGTTAATAATGTGTAAAGCGAATTGATTAAACCTGGAGGTATTATTATGGACTCTGAATCTAGCAAGGTTTTTCTGAAATATACCTCAATCTGAGAGGTAGGGATGAACACATATCTATCGTAAGATCTTTATATTCACTCCATATAAATCGATATATTGTAGTCATTTTTCAAAGCTTTAGCAAATTAGAATATGGTATATGAATTTTTATTTGTTGACTATATTTTTCATTTTTTAGAACTTTTCTTGACATTCTTGCAATAAGCAGCATATGTTATTGATATTGATATATATTGTTATACAGCTGTGGTTATAAAACATACTTACAATGCCAATTATCATTAAAGCCGAATTTAAAAATATATCATTTTATATGTCAATATCATGTGACTTTTTCAAAACGTGATATCGATATGCACTCGACTCGTTGTCGATTATAGCGCAATAAATGTTCAGTCTAAGTGAATCCTTCACAATTTAAGCAACTTTAATCTCAACCAAAGTGCAAAAATTCCCTCTTCAGGCAAACTTACAGGGTATTTCGGCAACAGCATTCGCTCTTAATCATTTCACATACTACATGAGTACTGCAAGCAGAGCAGCACAGGAAATTGTGTTAGTCATATGTGAAGTGCTATCAATTGATACTTATTCGTATTGTTAATCTATGTTGTTCACTTGAGAATGAAAATGAAAAGTATTTGCATTCATGTAGTTGGTTATTTAAATTTGTTGTAGTTATTGTTTGTTGCATCTTGCACACACACACACACACACACACACACACACACACACACACAGAGCACAGAGCAGGCAATTTAATGCATATTTTTGGACAAGCTTTAGTACTTGACGCAGATACAACAGCCACAAACTCAATCAAATGGAGGCAAGTGGTAGCCAACAACGACAACAACAATAACAATAAACAACTACAACTACAACAACAACAAAAACAACGAGAGCAACAACTACAATAAGATTCCTGCTACACATTGTGTGTAGTTTCATTCGTTTAAATTCAATTGACTTTGAATGCTCCACAATGGAGGCAAACAAGCGACACACACACACACACACACACAAATATATATATGTCTGTATATATACACAGATCCAGAATCAACGTTGTCTTATTGTTGTTGTTGTCGCTGTTGTCTGGATTGAAGCGCATTGAGCGGCGCAACGGAAAACGAATGAGGGTCAATTAAGCCAATTTAAATTTAATAAACTTATGTATTATGTGCAAGAGGTTACTAGCCACAGCAATATGCCATATATGACTTGTGATGATACACAGTAAAACACAGAGAGAGAGAGAGATGGGCAAAGAGTGACAGAGAGAGCGAGTCAGGGAGAGAGAGATAGAGATAAAGAGAGACAGCGAGCGTGTGAGCACAGACAATCTACATATATGCCACAATTGTTTCAATATTTCATTCTTTTTTTTTGGGGGTTGCAAACACGACTTGATATATCCATGTAGATTTCTGACTCAGCTGCGTATAGGTTATATATACATATAACATTCGACTATATAAATTATAAAGTGCATAGTTCAAAATACATTAATATTCTGAAGGCATATGCCGCACTGTCTCCAGCATTCATTTGTGAGAGGTGACGGAGGCAAACGAAGCTGGGGCCTGGGGGATGGGGAAGAATGCCGCACAAATGTTTGATGTGTGCTGCCATGTGGTATGTAAAATACACACACACTCACATACATACATGCATGTACCATATTTGTGTGCATATATAGACATGGATATGTAATTGTTATATCACTTGCAGGTCAGTAAAATATATAATCAAAGGCTAAAGACATCGTTTAATAATGATTTAAGTGAGTCAGATTCGAGTTGTAGCAATTTGAGATGAGCAGCCACGAATTGGAGCTCGAAACCGTAAGATTTAAGCTTTAACCGTAGCTAACTTGTCGTTGAACAGGAGAAAGATTAAAGCTGAAGAAGTTGCTGGAAATCTCTGAGCTGAAGAGGTTTCTTGAAATAATAAACGGAACTAGAGCTGAAGAGCTGTCTGCCATTCTTTCTCTCTCTCTCTCTCGCTCTCTCTCTCTGCAGTGGAACTTAAGCTGAAGAACAAGCTCTAAACTAGCAGGATAAAGTTGTATGCCATTCTGTCTGTCTCTCTCTCACTCTCTCTATCTTCATAATGGTGAAGAAGTCGTTGTAATTGCAGTGGGAAAAAAACTGAAGAGCGACCTGTGCATCCCACAGTATTATCTTTATCACTCTGTCACTTTGTTTTTCTCTCTCTCTATCATTATTCAGCAGGACTTAAACTGAAGAGGTCGCGTAAAATACGCGACTCAACGTAATATGTCGAGATGTCGCTCTTATAGCAGAAAGAATAACACTGAAGAGGACTAAATCCCTCCCTCTCTCTCTCTCTCTCTCTCTCTCCCTCTCTCCCTCTCTCTCGCAATCCTTCTCTATCTTTAGCAGAAAGTGAGCTGAAGAAGTCGTGTGAAATGCAAAATGATTTAAAAGAAATAACTCTTGCGCTTTATATGTTAAGGTAAAAAACTTAATGCTCGACTTTTCACTATTTTTCAGGTAAACTAAGCCGAAACTCATATCCCATAATTGCGGCAGAATTAAGGGCGGGAACTCATTGTTACTGCAGGTGAATTAAAACTGATGAACTCGAAAATCGTAGAGAAGTAAGCTCGCACTCTTTACAAGGAGGTTAAAAGCTAAAGAGCTTTTTCCAACTGCTGCAGGATTACCAGCGAAGAACTTACTTCAAGTGCAAGCGGATTAGTGCCGAAGCGCTGCAGGACGATTAAAGGCGACGAGGTCGCTCACAAAAGAGGCTTCAAGCCATTGTGACAAGTATGTGGTACTTACCTTGAATTTCTGACAAAAAACAGAAAACAAAAAACATATTGCTTTCCTAAGTACTAGTGCCGCAGGAGTTAGGGTTGTGTCCGCAATGCCTCCTGCTGCCCAAGTGCTTATCAAAGCGACGAGTTTTTCAACAGCAGCAATTAAACAAAATTACTAATTTTTTTTTTTTTTATCATTTATTTACTTTTTAATTGATTTAATAGTATTTTTGCTTGAATAGTTATCAATACTATTTTGCTGACAATTTATACTAATTTTCGCCGTTTGTTTGAATTTTTGCTTTCAGCTTAAAATTTACATATTTCTTGGGCAGAAATTGTCTAAAACACGCACACACACATACATATAATTACTAATTAGCTAAACTGTGTCGCCAACAGTGTTTTCTTTTTCCTCTTCTTCTTCGAATACGAAGACTCTGTACACATACATACATGCGTACATACACATTTATATACATACACATATAAATATATATATATATGTACGTTTATTTAGGAAGTCTGTATATGTCAATTCATTAATAAATTAATTAATTACTCAATGCAAATTTAGTTGAGGACACATTTAGCATTTCATATATATATATATACATTTATATATGTATATGTATAGTATTTGTGTTTTCTATCTTATTCACTTAATACTTTCGCTTAATTTGTCTAGTTTTGGGTAGCCTTTCCATATGATATATTTATGCAACAGCATCGTAAACAACATATCATAATAGAATTACATTTATTTACAAATAACTAAACACTATCGTTGCGATTTAGGCGTTACACAATTAAATTCCGGGAAAACTTTCATGCTCTATGAAGACTTTCGTTACACAAAACAAAATTGGATACTAAATCAGATGTATATATATACAAGCCTTACAGCTAGATATGCCAGTATATAGGGTAAATACATACTTAACTAGAGTTAAACCCGAATTAAAATTAGAAGAAAATCAATAGGTAATACTTTTCATAGAATTGGAGAAATCGGGATATACTTTGTACACATGATATATATTTTTATTTAGAGTCATATATGTTTGTACGATTTCTCAGAAATGTGACTCCCGCAGAACTCTGCTGGGTCTGGCAGAGTGCAGTTCCTGTTTAGATAAACATGATAACAGGTCATAAATTATTAGGTTATTCGTTTTTCGTATTTTTGGAAGGGTTTTTGTTTTTGTTCAATCATTTATTGGTAGTCTTAACACTTAACACGATTTGGGGAATAAGCGATATTTTGATTAAAGCGAAAGAAGGTTAGATATGATTGGCAGTTTCTCGGCGTCTCTCCGGGATATGTTGGTAAGGTATGTAAAGAGTGTGTGAGAATATGTATGGATTGCATCGAAAGTGGGCTGGTAGTAGTAGTAAATAATCGTACAACGGATATGTGGGTGCAGCCGAGATTCAGAAGCTGCATTCTGTATTCACTAGTTGTTGTTGTTGTTGCTGTTGCTCAGCGTTAAGAGTATTAGACTTGATTACAACAAATGACAACGAGTTAAGTATTTACAAAACGAGTGTAATGTCGGTTACACTTTTGGCATTGTTACTTAAATTAATAATGCAACAATTACACAGAAATGCTTAAAAGTTAAAGAAGTCTTGCCTCAAACCATGCGAATAAATATATAAATATATATATATACATACATATACATCTATATATCCACATAAGTAAATATGTATATATATGCAGCTGCTAGGGTATTACGATAGTTAATAATACAATTTGCATTTCTTTACCATTTTGTTTATACACTCACGCACACGCACACGCAACTACATTGATCTATATATGGTATAAATATATATAGAGAGTATAGAGTAATTATTGTATGCAGATATGTGGCTTAAATGCATATGTGAAGCTTATATACAACTTTCCTGTATGCGATTCGAAGTGGTAACGACCTCGGGCCGAAAACGATATTCGCTTAATGACGAGGTCACCGATGCGTTATTCGGACTGAGCAGGCTGACCTCCATTGGCTGCGGTGTTAGATGATATGATGATGAGGGCGTCGATGTGCTTATGTTATATGTCAACGACCCCAGCGGCGGACTACACGTGGTTATGCCCTTCTTATTGAGGGTCGCATAGCTCTGTGGTAAACGAAAGCGGAAGGAGAAAATAGCGAGGCAATAGAATAGAGTAGAGTGAGTGCCGGCTCCAACCAGATAACCAATATACAATACAAAAGCACAAATATCACTATAACTAACTTCAGTTTTCAGCTACTCACGATTTGTTTACTTGGCCGGAACGTATAGTGGAGGACCTCGTTGCCCGAGTTGCTCAGCAGGCCAATGGTGCTGGCGTCCGCGCCACCCAGTCCCGCCATCACCCCGACGCTCTCCGCATTGCCCTTGAGCAGCTCCGCATCGCGCCCAGTGCAGTAATCGCGTGGCATCAGCCGCGTGGCCGGACTGGCAAAGCCCGGCGAGGCGCCCAGTGACTTCAGTGGGCGTTTTTCTAAATTGCAATTGGAATGTGAAGGATTTGTAATGGGTGGGTCTGGAAGCGATGCAAAGGATAATTAACTTACCATACTGATTGGGTATAACATCGGGATCGGTGTCATCTACATCAACCTGATCGCCCAGCAGCTGTGCATTGGCTCGAGTGCGTCCAGTGGCTATGGTCAAGCCGTGCCCGTGCCCGTGTCCATGCCCGCTTGGTGAGGTCCTCGTGCCACTGTCTACATTCACTTCGCTCAGCGCGCCTCGCTCG